CTTCTGTGTTTTTTTTTTTTTTTTTTTTTTTTTTTTGCCATCCCAGACTTTAATGTGACCATTTATAAGACTTTCAGTTACATGCTGTAATGAAAATGGAGTGTGCTGTTTGGAAGCCTGTGCGGTGCAACCAAAAATAATGACCAACCTGACCTTACTTCGCAAGTCCTCCTGAGACCTTAAACCCTGAGCGGTAAACCAGATGGCCCTCCTACTCAGTTCTGTCTGTGTGCCTTACAGAGCTTCAGAAGTTGCATCTTCCTAATGAGAAGACATTTCAATATAAATAGAAAGACATTTACCAGACCCTTTTCCACCAGAATGTCTCTTTGCAGTGGTTTAGAATCTGAATATTTGACAATTCTTGTATTATCACATCAGTAGATCTCATGGGTGTTGTTTTAGAGGTTTGCTTTTTTGTTTTTAATGTAGAAAGGGTTTGTCTGCCTAATAGACGATTCTGAATCCCCTGGAACTAGAGTTGTAGACAGTTGTGGACTATCGTGCTGGGAACTGTACCTGGGTCCTCTCCCAGAGCTGCAAATGTTCTTGACCACTAAGCCATCTATCTCTCCAGCCTCTTGTGGGCTTTTGTTTTTTAAAAGATTTACTTTTAAATCTTTTATGGGTATTGAGTGTATTGCCTATTTCCTATGTGTATGTACATGTACCACGTGTGTGGCTGGTGCTCTCAGAGGCCAGAAGAGGGAATCGGATCCTCTGGGACTTGAGTTATAGATGGTTATGAGCTGTTGTGTGGGTGATGGGAATGGGACCCAGATCCTATGCGAGAGCAGTAAATGTTCTTAACTTCTGATCCAACTCTCCAGCCCCAGTTTTGTTTTGTTTTTTTTTTTAATTCATTACTGGTCCAGTGAGATGGGTAAAGATTCTTGCTGCTAAGCCTGACCACCCAGATTCAATCCCTGGAAGTCATATTGGTGGAAGGAGAGAACTAACTCCATGAACCCCTCAGACCCCGACATGCACATAGATTCTTAAGTGAACACACAAATAAATAGATAAAAATTTAAAACATAATTATTTGCCAGAATGGAACATGGTTTAATGATAGTTCATACAAGATCCTGCGCTCCTTCCCCAGTATCACATAAGAAAACTGGGTTTTGTTTGTTTTTGTTGTTTGTTTGTTTGTCTGAGACAGGGTCTCAGCTGGGCACAGTGGTGCACACTTTTAATCCCAACACTTGGGAGACAGAGGCAGGAGGATCTCTGTGGGTTCAAGGCTAGCCTGGTCGACCTAGAGTTCCAGAGTCCTGTCTCAGGGGAGGGAGAGGGAGGGAGATAAAATGTCACTATGGATCCCTGGCTGGCCTGGAACTTGCTATATGTATATATAGACCAGGCTTTCCTTAGACTCACAGAGATCCACTTGCCCTTGCCTCTAGAGTGCTGAGATTAAAGGCCTGGCTACCATGCTGGCTAAAGTAAACAATAATTGTAATTATTTGTCATTCTATGAGAACAAACCTCCTTTGTGTTCAGTACTCCTTCCCATCAGGATTCCCACGCCTGTGTGATCTTTACCTTGTAGCTGGATCATGTGTTGGAAGAATAAACAGCTAGAAAATACTTCAGAGTCAAACATACTCTTGGCCTTAGGACTGTCTCCCTCATTCAGACTTCTGCGCCATGAGAACAGAGTGGAGGATGAAGCCAAGACTCAGCTGAAGCCCAAAACCAGAGAGCTGAGGCAGGGCCTGGGTGAGCTGGCTTGTCACCCTAGATGCTTCGGGACAGACACAAGGAATGCCAGAGGCCTGGGATGCTGGTAAAATTTGTCTCAGCCAATCTGGGACTTGTACCACCTCCTCACTGCCAATGTGTGAGAGCCCTGCCTTGCTTGCAAGTGAAAAAAATTCCTGTTGGTTCTCTGCCCTGGACCTATGGCATTCGGGAGTTCAGTTCTCATTGGTGGCCAAGCACAACAGGTGCAACAAACCATTCCCTTTACTGTCTCAGCTGAAGACTTAAAAAAAATCAGACAAATAGATTTCTTGAGTGACCAGTATGTGGACTATCATAATAATGATAAGAGCTTTCCAGAAATATGAAAACAGAACGTTACTCAGATCCCAGTCACGGAGAAGCATCTTAACACCAGACTCATGGGAGGACTATGAAATGCCCAAGTCCAGAGGGCATGAGCAGGTTCTCCCAGAGGTGGGGCATGAATTGACTGTGAAAATGGATCAGTAGCAAATTGGCTGTGCTTCAGATTGTCTTTGGAGAAAACTGGCTCCAGTGAGACTCTCCACAGACACTGCCTTCCTTCTCCTCTAGCTACTCTGCCTGTCAGCTTGCTGGGGGATTCCTACCTCCTGCCCTGTTGGCTGGGGTTACACACGGCCCTCCAGGCCCACCCAGATGTTACTCAGATGCTCTGGATCTACACTCTACCTGAACTTCTGTCCCACTTGGAGCAAGGCTGGCAGGTGGTGGTGCAAGTCTAGATCCACTGAGACAGCTTTTACCAGCGCTTCTGGCCTCCAGCATTTTTTCCCTGAAGCATCTTGAGGGACAAGCCAAGTTACTTGGGGCTCTGCCCCATCTCTTCTGTTTTGTGCCTCTTTTTTCTTTACCCCCATCTGTTTTCTTTCCTATAATTTGGTTGAATTAATTGACTTATTTTTAATGACCTGAATGCATACATTATGTGTATGTTTGTGCACACGAGTACAGCTGCCCTCAGGGTAGTGGAGCCCCTGAAGTTGTAGTGAGCAGTTGTGAACCACCCAATGTGGTGCTGGGAACCAAACTCAGGTCCTGTGTAAGAGTAGTACTCTCTCTCTCTCTCTGTCACATACACACACACACACACACATACACACTCTCACACGCGCACACACACTCTTTCACACACACTCTCACACACATACACACACTCTCTCTCACACACACACTCTCTCTCTCACACACACACACTTGTTTCACACAGGATCTTTTTGTTTTGTTTAGTTTTTTAAGACAGGGTTTCTCTGTGTTGCCTTGGCTGACCTGGAACTTGCTCTGTAGACCAGGCTGGCCTCAAATCACAAAGATCTGCCTGCCTCTGCCTCCTGAGTGCTGGGATTAAAGGCGTGTGCCACTACCAACTAGCTATACAGGATCTTGAAAAGCAGCTGAGGCTTTCTCCAAATTCACAATACTACTGCTTCAGCCTCCTAAAGGCAGGGATTACAGGTGTGAACCACCAGCTCATCTGTACAGGAAACATTTCCGGGTATCAGCTGCAGTCTGGTCTATGTGAGTCCCTGATGAAAGAAGAAAGGAAGGAAAAAAGGAAGGAAAGAAGGAAGGAAGGAAGGAAGAGAAACAGAGAGAGGGAGAGAAATGAGAGGGAAAGAGGGTTGCTGAGGTCATAGCTCAGCTGGAGAGTGCTTACCAAGCAGATGAGAGACTAGGTTTGTTCTCCAACACAGGAAGAAAAGAAGCCTGGTGGTGGTGGTGGAGAGGCAGGTGGATCTCTGAGTTAAAGGCCAGCCTGGTCTATAGAGCTGCTTCCAGGGAAGCCAGGGCTACACAGAGAAAGCCTGTCTAGAGAAAAAACAAACAAACAAAAAAAAAAAAAACAAAGAAAAAAAAAACAGAGCCTCCTATATACTAAGCAGGCACTCAACCACTGAGCCTCACCATACATACATGGCCAAGACCACACAGCTGAGAAGGATCAGCCCAGTGCTCTATTCTGTTAAATCTGAGGCACTAGGGCCGGGCGGTGGTGGCGCACACCTTTAATCCCAGCACTCGGGAGGCAGAGGCAGNAAAAAAAAAAAAAACAAAAAAAAAATTAAAAAGAAGAGGAGGAGAAAAGATGGAAAGAAATTGAAAGCCAAAAAAAAAAACCTCACAGAGGGGCACCTTCAAGGTTCTCAAAGCCTAGCACTGCAGGCACAGATGTTCTCGGAGAGAGGAGGGAGCGACGATGGAAGGGCCTATGGACAGGGGCCTCTTGCCTCAGGTGATAGTCACTCAATAACTGTGTTTCTATTGTGAAAACTCACCAGGCTAGAGGCTTCTAAGTGGCATCAGTGCTTTTGTGTTACATTCTGTTTAACACAGACTTCGGGCCTAAAGAGCCTGGGGAGACAGCTCAGCAGCTGAACACAGGGATGAACACAGGGAGGACAGGAGTTCAAGTCAGAGTTCGGATCCCTAGAGCCTGAGTAACAGCTGGGTGGACATGGAGGGTCATCTGTAACCCCAGCTCACAGGGGTGGAAGTCAAGGAATCCCCTGCAAGCTGTCAGCCGGACTAGCTGAAAAGGTAAGCTCCAGATTTACCAAAACGTCCTGCCTCCATGTTATATAAGGAAGTGAGCAGTCAGGGAGGTCACCTGACCCCTTCCTCTGGCCTCCAATTTAAGGTACATGTATGTGCATACACACACATAAATCTGCATAGACACATGTAAACATACATGCACACATGCTCATAGAGGAGGGTATGTGTTTGGGCCCAGCCCTGGTGAGGCAGAGGCAAGCAAACTGATGTAAGTTCAAGGCCAACCTGGTCTACACAGTGAGTCCCATGACACAATTAGGACACTGGCGCAGGGTGTGGTGGTGCACGCCTTTAATCCCAGCACTTGGGAGGCAGAAGCAGGCGGATCTCTGTGAGTTCGAGACCAGCCTGGTCTAGTTCCAGGACAGGCTCCAAAACCACAGAGAAACCCTGTCTCGAAAAACCAAAAAAAAAAAAAAAAAACAAAGCTAGGAGTTATCCTTGGTTCTTCATCTTTATAATCTACGCTTAGTCCTTCAGAAAATCCTCTTCCAATCTGTAGAATAATTTTATCTACTTATTTTTTTTTTTGAGACAAGGTTTCAAAAAAGGTTACCTTACTGTCTGTAACTGGGGTCCCATGGGTCCTGATCACCTCCTCTGACCTTTCCGGGAATCAGGTATGAAAACAGTGCGTAGACAATAATAATAAATATAAAAGAAAAGCTCATTCCCGAAAAGAACGTGGTAATTGCTGTGAGGGTGATTACCCGCTTTCTGAATGGATTTGCTGCCAGGAATGCATGTCTGATTCTGTAACCTGCTCAAAACTCTGTGGGGCAGAAGAGTTGGCTCAGCACTTAAGAGCACTTGCTGCTCTTGCAGAGGACCTGGGTTTGATTCCTAGTACCCATAAGGTAGCTCACAACCATCTGTAACTCCAGGTCCAGGGGATCCAATCTTCTTCTGGCCTCTCTGGGCACCAGACACACACATGGTACACAGATATCCATATAGACAAAACAAACATACATATAAAATAAAATAAACACATCTTACTTTTAAAAGCCCACCACTAATCTGGGCAAGGTGGCAAACACCTTTAATCCCAGTAGAGACAGGCAGATCTCTGAGTTCAAGGCCAGCTTGGTCTACAGAGTGAGTTCCAGGACAGCCAGGGCTACACAGAGAAACCTTATCTTGAAAAACAAAAACAAACAAATTTAAAAATAAATATATAAAAAGCCCATAGTTGAGAAAGTTACAGGCCTTAGGGGAAAACTTACTATTTGTGTTTTGTTAAATAGGTATGTCGTCAAACGACCTTGTAAAATGTTGGTATTTATGCCCTTAGACTGGTGATGCTCTCGGCCTTAGTCAGAGAAACTTCTGTCTGCAGTGGGTAGCAGTTGATGCAGAGGTTCATAAAGGTCAGAGATGACGAGGATAAGTGACAGTCGAAGGTTTCGCCCTAAAGGAGACATCTCCATCACCACGGCCCTCGGAACACCCTGGGAGAGGGGACAGAAAGACAGAGCAGGGGTAGGGATTTAGCCCAGTGGGAGAGCACTTGCATGGCCAGTGCCAGGCCTTGGGTTTGGTCCTCAGCTGGGGGATGGGGGTGAGGAGAGTAGGAGTAGGCAAATAACAAACAGCCGGGTTCATGCCCTTATTCCCAGTGCTGGAGAGTCAAGGGCAGGTGGAGCTCTGTGAGTTCATAGTCAGCTCCACATAGTAAGTTCCAGGACAGCCAGGGCTATGTAGTGCCTGGGGGTGGGGGGGTGGGGGGCAGAAGGAGGATGGGAAACAGTGTTGTATGGAGCGGCGGCCCCGCTTCCCGCCACCCCGCTCCAGCCACTGGCTAGTTTTACCCAAAATAATTTCATGGAAACTGTATTTTTTTAAACACTGTCTCGTCCATTAGTTTTAGCCTCTTATTGGCTAACTCTTACATCTCGATTAACCCATTTTTAATAATCTGTGTAGTGCCATGAGGTGGTGGCTTACCAGAAAGGATCTTAACCTGCGTCCATCTTGGAGAGGAGAGCTATAGCATCTGCCTGGAGAGGAAAGGCATGGCGTCTGTGTCGGGTGGGAGAATCATGGCGATTGACTGACTTGGCTTATTTCTCCCAGCATTCTGTCTGTCTACTTCGCCTACCTAATTTTCTGTCCTATTAAAGGGCCAAGGCAGTTTCTTTATTAACCAATGAAATCAACACAAAACAGAAGACTCTCCCACCTCAAAACAGTGTTGTGAGCCACTATTCTCTGGACATGGCATGGCTGTTACAATCATGAACTCACAGCATCTGTGGCTACCTGAGCACACACAAACACACACACACACTTGTGCAATACACTTATGCAAACACACACACACAAATAAAATGTATACTTTCTTTTGAGACAGGGTCTTTTTATGTGTCTCTGGCTGTCCTGAACTTGCTAGATAGACTAGGCTAGCCTTGACCTCAGAGATAGCTTTGATCCCCTAGTGCTAGGATTGAAGGTGTGCACCACAAGGCCTGGCAGTAAAATCTTAAAAAGAAGGGAGCCCCTCTAATCCTAAATGGTCAAATCAAAACATACCTGCACACGAGTGACACTAACTAGGTTCATCAGGTTGTATTTGTGTGTGTCTGACAATAACAGCTAAAGAGATTGTGATGGGCGGGGGGCACAGGAGGAACTGGAGGGGGAGAGGAGGGCATGGTGTAAAAACAGGACTCATGTATGAAATTCTCAAAAAAAAAGTTAAAAATAAAATCACAGGTGTGGTAGCACACACACACTTTTAATTCCAGACATGGGGGGCAGAAGCAGGCAGATCTCTGAGTTCAAGGCCAGCCTAGACTACAGAGTGAGTTCCAGGACAGCCAGGGCTACATAGAGACACCCTGTCTCAAAGAAGAAAATGAAATGAAATAAAGCGAAAGGTCACTAAACATCACGGGGAGATGAGAGGGAGGACGATGGGATAAAGGGAACCATAACACTTGGTACACGTCTCTGAAACCACCAGAGAAGCTGGTGAAATGAAAAGAATTGATTGACCCATGAAGGAAATGCTATTGCAAGTTGACATATAAGCAGCCAGCGGTCACGTGGCTGTGGCAGTGATTTGTCAGGTCTTTAGTGACTCATTAATTAATCTTCTGTCATTTATCGGTTGTAAAGAGTGAAGTGCAGTCAAGTGCTCCCACACACCCACTGCAACTGAATTCGGTAGCCGTTTCCTGACCAGACTTCCTTTCTCCACCTGCCTCTGAGGCCTGCTTCATCACCCTGCTCTCAAGCCAGGTGTGTGGCCTCGGCGCTCCTTCGGAAGGGCCTGGCATTCACCTTACTCTCTTTTTGGAGACAGGACCTCATGCAGTCCCGGCTGGCTACACAGGATAACGTCAAACTCCTGATCCTCCTGCTTCTGCCTCCCACGTGCTGGGATCACAGGCACAAGGCCCACTTTGGGCTCACATCAGCTTCACTCTTTGCTCAATAATTAATACATTCACCTGTTCTACATTTTTCTTTATTTTCAATTTTATTTTGTGAACAACACATTAAACTATCCAGGACAGGATTTTGCAGTCTCATTATTGGTGAGACATGCCCATAATTTGTTGGTATTAAATACCTCTACCATGTTGTGTAACCATCACCACTGTTTCCGAGAATTTTTCATTGTCCTCAACAGAAACTCTGACCCATTAAGCAATCACTCTTCATTTCTGCCCTGCAGATAACCCTGCTGCTGTGTATCTTTATGACCGCCTGTTCTGATGCCTCACACAGCGGAATCATACGGTATTCGCCCTTTCATGTTAATGCACTTGGTTCAGCATAATGGGCTCAAAGGTTTGCCCATGTTGTAACATGCACAGGCATTTTCATTCCTCACTGGTGTGCTGGTGCAGGCCAAGGATCTCGGTACTCGCGAGGCTGAGGCAGAAGGCTCACCGAAAGTTTGAAGCTAGCTGGGCTGCATATTGAGTTCAGGGCCAGTCAGCGCTACTGAGTGAGACAGGGTCTCAAAAAAACAAATAGGGGCTGGGGATGTAGCAGGCTGCTTGCCTACCATTCGCAAAGCCCCGGGTTCAACCCCCAGTACCACATAAAGCTAAGGGTGGCAAGTACCGCTAATCCCCACATTTGAAAGGCGGAGGCTGGGAGGTCGCACATTTAAGCTCATCCTTAGTTAAGTCGTGAGTCCAAGGAAAAGCTGGGGGAAAACTTAGACCTGGACTCATAAGGTAAATAATGAATAAATAATGAAAATACCTGGATTCTTAGACAGACATGGGGTGCATGTCTTTAATTCCAGCACTGCGGAGGCAGAGGAAGCACGATTGTGGGTTTAGGGCTGGCCTGAGCTCCATAGTTAACGCTTTGTAGTAAAATCCACACAATAAGGGCCAGGCATGGTGATGCACACCTTCAATCACAGCCCTCAGAAGGTGGAGGAAGCTGAATCTCTGGGAGTTCAAGGCCAGCCTGGTCTACATAGCCAATTCCTGGCCAGCCAGAGCTACACAGTGAGACTCTGTCTCAAAGCAAACAAACAATAACAAATATATTACTTACATACATATATGTATATCACAAAAAAGCTTTCCATCATGACTCTTTTGTAGGACAGTGTCGGGAAGTCAAACTTAGGACAAGCACCTACGTTAAGCAAACACTCTGCTACTGAGTACACATCCAGCCCAGTCATGGGACGGTTTAAGTAGCATGAATTGCATTCATAACGTTGCATAATCACCACCCTTTTCTGTTTCTAAAGTGTTTGCATCATCCCAGACAGAGCCTCCAGCCACTAAGTAACTTCTCATCTTCTCCTCCTTCTAGTCTCTGGGCACCCCTAGTGTACTTTCTCTCTCTAGGTGCCTCTGATGAGAGCAATGCTACAATTCTTGTCTTTCTGTATCTGGCTAACTGAAATCACCAAATTATCTTCAAGGTTCATCTGCTTTGTACCGTGTATCAGAAATTCAGTATGGGGTGTGGAGCATGGCTTGCAGGTTAAAAGTGCATGTTCAAGTGCGTACACATCAGAGTACAACTGTCAATAGTTGGTTCTCTCTTTCTGCCTTGTGGGCTCCTGGGATCAAGCTCATGCAGTCAGACTGAGCAGCAAAAGCTTTTGTCCTCTGGGCCATGCTGCAGAACCCTTTCCTTTCTCAGCGTTTTGAAATGTACCATTTGATTTCCCTTTTTTTTTTTTTTTTTTTTTTTTTTTTTACCATTTGATTTATATTTTCTTGGTGGCTCTCACCCACACTGTATGTGCTCGTGTACGTACAGGTGGACCTGAAGCAGCTGATATTGAGAGTGGTCCTCGATCACTCTTTCCTCTCCGTTGAGTCCAAAGCTCACCTCATTACAGCTAGCCAACTTGCTCTGAGCATCCCCAGCCTCTGCCTTCACCATGCTGGAATCAGGTGGGCTCCCTTGCTCACCCAGAAGTTGTATGGGTTCTGAGGGTGTAAACTCTGGTTTTCACACCAGTGCTTCATTCACAGACCCATCCCCCCACTTCACCAGCTTCCTGCTGGTTTTCTGTGTTTGTTTATTTGGTTTGGTTGAGGTAGGCGCTCACTACACAGCCTTGACTGGCCTAGAACTGGCTGTGTTAATCAAGTTGGCCTTGAACTTGTGATTCTCTTGCTTCTCACTCTAAGGTGCTAGGATTACAAAACACCCAGTCACCCCTCTTTAAAGTATCTATTTTATTTTTTATTTATTTAATTTATTTAGCTGTTTAATTTTTTTTTTTCCAAGACAGGGTTTCTCTGTTTAGCCCTGGCTGTCCTGGAACTTACTTTGTAGAACAGGCTGGCCTCAAACTCAGAACTGGTGGAGGTTGTGTGTACAAGTGAGTGCAGGTGCCGGATAAGTCCAGAAAAGTGTGCTAGGTGCCCCAGAGCTGGAGTTACTGGCTACTGTGAGCTGCCTGATATGGGTGTTGGGAACCTAACTCGGGTCTATGAGAGTAGTATGTGCTGTTAACCACTGAGTTATTATTCCAGCCTGTACCCTGCCCCCTCCTAAGAGTTTGAATTCTGATTATCAATATCCTCAGAACTGGCATCCTGAATATCAGGTGTAATGCTGCCAATCCTTAAGGGGTACTGGATTGTGTGGCTTTCCAGATACTGGCATTGTAGGTGTGAGCCAACAGCCCTGTCCCGGGCTCTTTCCAAAGTGCATGCTCTCTATTGTGCATGCCCACTGAAATTGCTGCTCCATTGTTTCTGAGGTCAGTCAACGACCTGGAAAAAAGCCTGCTTTACCTGGCTGACGTGGAAGCGGATGGGAAAGAAGTATTGTGTCTTTAAATTCCCTGCACCTGGGAAGCCCCTTCAGTTTATGGGGTGGAGCTGGGGCGAGACTTGGAGACAGCTGAGAGTTACTGAAATTTACCAGCTTCGTTACACTCTCCTGGATGTTACAGTGTTCACTGAGACAGCAGGACCCAAAGAAGTTGCTGTGGGCAGGTCTTGCTGACTTGAGACGCAGAGGGATGGATTCCAGTGCTTCCTAACCCTCCATCTGTTGAAAGGGGCTGCTAGCTCATCCCAGTCGCCCAGAACCGAAATAATCACACAGAAACTGTATTAATTAAATCACTGTTTGGCCCATTAGCTCTAGCTTCTTACTGGCTAACTCTTACATCTTAATTTAACCCATTTCTATTAATCTGTGTATCACCACGTGGCTGTGGCTTACCGGGTAAAGTTCCAGGTGGGCATCTGTCTCCGGTGGGGCTAAATGGCTTCTCTCTACTCCACCCTTCTTTCTCCCAGCATTCAGTTCCATATTCCCCGACTACCTCTGCTCTGCCCTGCCATTGGCTCAAACCAGCTTGCTTTATTAACCAATCATATTCACAGCATGCAGAGGGCAATCCCACTTCATCTGTCCATTTGAGTGCTGTTTAGTTTTCTTTGGGATAGGGTCTAGTGTAGCCCAGGCTGATCTGGGTGGGATTCCCCTGTCCTAGGGAATAACCTTGGACTCCCAATCCTCCTGCCTCTGTCTTCTAAGTGCTGGGATCACAGGCATGCGCCATCACTGCCCGGCTCTGCCTCACATCTTAAGTGTGGAATTACAGGTGTGTGCACAGTAGAGAGCAAAGCTGGGGTGTGTGCACTTTCTGTAGGTGAGCAAGCAGTCTACCAACCCGGCCACGAGTCAAGATTTTATCTAGTGTTTGAAGACAATCTTGGCTTTCTCTATAATCTTCCTCAATATGAATTCTTAAATTTTGTTACATTCATATTTATTGTGTGTAGGTACACACATGTGTAGGGTTGGAGGACAGTTTGCAGGAGCCAGATCTCTCCTTCTCCCATGTAGGACTTGGGATGGGACTTAGGTCAGCAGGCTTGACAGCAAGTGCCTTTACCATGGCTAGCTCATCAGTCCCTTTCAGTGTTCCTTAGCCTTTATCCACTGCCTGATTCCAAAGCCCACAGTTTTAGAGCTTGTTGCAGCAGGACCTGATTCTTGGTATCTATAATCTTTTTTTTAATGATTTATTTATTTATTTATTTATTATGTATACAACATTCTGCCTCCATGTATGCCCGCACGCCAGAAGAGGTGCCAGATCTCATTACAGATGGTTGTGAGCCACCATGTGGTTGCTGGGAATCGAACTCAGGACCTTTGGAAGAGCAGGCAGTGCTCTTAACCACTGAGCCATCTCTCCAGCCCCAACATGAATGTCTTTGTGGGGCCATTTTTCTGCCTACCACACCCCCTCTAGGAGCCACTCCTTCCTGCTCCCCACAGTGCTTTCTTCCCCTCGGAATCAGAGCACCCTAGATCTGGCACAGGTTGAGATCTGGGTCTCCGCCGCTTGCTTGTCTCCCCTCCTCTGCCCACTCCACTCATCCTGAAGGTCCCAGACCACAGCTGGCCGTAGTCCCTGCCTCGGAGGAATTGTGTTTTCAAGTCTCTTTCGACAGCCGATGCACCTCAGCTTGTGAGCAGGCGAAGGAGGAGCCAGGTCTGTTGCACCCATGGAGTGCACACTCATACACACTCACACCCGCTCATACCTGCTCATACCGCTCATACCCACTCACACCTACTCATACAAGTTCATACTTGCTCATACTCGCTCATACATGCTCATACACACTCATACATGCTCATAGTTGCTCTCATACACGCTCATACATGCTCATACCCGCTCACACCCACTCATACCCGCTCACACCCGCTCATACTCGCTCACACCCATACACGCTCATACATGCTCATACCCACTCATACCCACTCATACATGCTCATACCCACTCACACCCGCTCATACATGCTCACACCCACTCACACCTGCTCATAACGCTCATACCCACTCATACACGCTCATACACACTCAAACATGCACATACCCGCTCACACCCATTTTGTAGGGCCAGCAAGCAGGTGAGCTCATCAAGCCCTACAGGATGCAGAGGGGACCTTGCAAGAGGCTGATGAAGCTTTATCTTCAATGTCCTTCACTCTCAGGCCTTGAGAAGGGCTCAAGGAACATGTCCACATGGATGTGTCATTGTGGAAAACCTGCAAAGTTAAGATAACCTAAGAACCGGCAAGACGGCTTATTGGGTATAGAGGCTTCCAATTAGGCCTGATGACCTGAGCTTGACCCCTGGAGAGAACCAACTTCTGCAAGCTGTTCTCTGTCACAAGTACCCATCATGGTAAACATTCGTAAGCTTGAGCGCACACACACACTCAAATCAACCTAACGTGTCCTGATTTTACTCAGGATCTCTGTCCTTTGCCCTCAGATTCCTCTGGAGCTGACATTCAAATGTCAGCTGGAGAACAATGGAGGAAATTACCCAACACTGACTGACCTCTGGCCTCCACACGAAATTTAACAACAATGCTACCAGCAACCCATGTGTAACATTTATGCAACACTGTCAATAATGAGTTAGGAGAAACAAAATAACTTTCCTAAACAATCAACAAAATATAAATTTCCATGTTAGAGAGAAGACTGGATTATTTTCCTAGTCTCCGTATGAAAAAATTCACCTCCTAAATTATAAATGGGTTATCCTATTTTTCAAAATATGCATTTTTAAAAAGATTTATTCCAGGGACTGGAGAGATGTCTCAGTGGTTAAGAGTGCTGGTTGAAGCTGGGCAGTGGTGGCACACACCTTTAATCCTAGCACTTGGGAGGCAGAGGCACATGAATCTTTGAGTTCGAGGACAGCCTGATCTACAGAGTGAGTTCCAGGGCTACACAGAGAAACCCTGTCTTGAAAAACCAATGCTGGTTAATCTTCCCGGGTTCAATTTCCAGTATCCATATGGTGGTTCACAACCATCTGTAACTCCAGTCCTAGAGGATCCAGCACCCTCTTCTAGCCTCTCTGGGTACCAGGTCTGCATGTGAAACACAGTAAGTGTGCAGGCAGAACACTCATACCCATAAAATAAAAACAGAAAACTTTTAATTTATTGTTGTTATTATTTTGTCCCTTTCTTTCTTTCCTTCCTTCCTTCCTTCCTTCCTTCCTTCCTTCCTTCCTTCCTTCCTTTCTTTTTCTTTTCTTTCTTTCTTCTTTCAAGATAGGGTCTCACTGTGTAGCTTGGGCTAACCTCAAACTCACTGTGGACCAAACTGGCTTTAAGTTCATAGAGATCCACCTGTCTCTGCCTCAGGCCTGCACTGGCATGCCTGGCTGGGATTTATTTTAGTTTTTCATGTGTATGTGTGTGGGTGGTTATGAACACGTGAGTGTGAATGACCTTACAGGCTGGAGGTAACAGATCCCCTGGAACTGGAGTTACAGTTGGTTGTCAGCCACCTGACAGACATGGGTGCTGGGAACTTACTTCAGGTCCTTCAGAGAACAGAACACACTCTTAATCACCAAGCCATCTCTCAAACTAAAATTTATTTACCTGTATTTGTGTGCGCATGTGTGTGTGTGTGCATATGTGTGTGTGTGTGTGTGTGTGTGTGTGTGTGACAGAGATAGAGAGAAGACATGAGCAGGCCAGTGTGGGCATAACACAGTGAACTTGTGGAGGTCTGAAGATAACTTTTTGGGAGTCAGTTTCTTGCCTTCCTTTTGAGGCAGGATCTTTCTTAATTCTGTCACATATTGTGTCCAGACCCATGTGATTCTGACAGGCTACTTTTCCTGCCTCTGTCTCTCACTTCACAGAAATGCTGGGATTTTATGAGTACTATTACATCTACAAGGCCAGCCTGGTCTACAGAGAGAGAGAGTTCCAGGACAGGTACCAAAGCTATAGAGAAACCTTGTCTTGAAAAATGCAAAAAAGAAAAAAAAAAGAGCTATGGCAGGAAAAACATTACAGGAATGTAACATGAAATTGCCATGAATGTTATTTTTTCTGGATTTACTATTACAATATTTGTCAGTTTAAGCCCCTTTTCTAGCCAGGTGTTGGGGCACAAACTGTAATACCTGCACCTGGAAAGAGGAAGCAGTGGGGGAGACACCAAGATCAAGTCCAACCAGGGCTGTATGGTTAGATTCTGTCTTGAAACACACACACACACACGCACACGCACACACGCAGACTCTTAAACTCGTGATTTTTCTCATGTTGTTTCTTCTCAAGAGATCAAAGCTGTGCATGCTAAGCACAGACTTGCCAGCTGAGCATCAGCCCTGGCCTTTCCTCATCATTTTGATTTTCTTCCGTGTCTCTTTGGTTTGTAATTGGGATTTTCTTTTCTAAAACATAGGACTCTATAAACACCTGTTCGCAGGGACCCCTTCAACCTGGATCACCAATGGAAGACAGAGGGAGGAAAGGAGTGAGGACCAACTCTCTCTTATTCCAGGGACCTTGAAGCTGCTTGGGCACCACAGCAATGTCTGAAGTTGCCACACAAATAAAGGCAGGTAGGGATACCTGACGGACCTAGGTTGGGGCTCTAGGGGCTGAGCTGGGAGTGAGGATAGGGTTAGAGTTGGGAGCTTGGGTAGGAGTCAAGGACCTAAGGAGCGGTGACCCTGGAGCAGTGACCTCTTGGGGAGAGGAGACTTGCAAAGGAGCTGGAGCCAAATGCTTTCTGCTGGGGGAGGGGGGTTGTTGACTCATCCACCTGCCTGAAATGGAAACAAGGGAGTGGACCTACCCCACTGAGAGGGCAGTTACGCCTGGGACCACCTGCCCATCCATCCTTGCACTGCGACTTCCGCCTGCTGCCGCTTCTAACAGTGGGAGGGGCTAGACAGTCCCACGGATGCACAGGCTGGTGCGCCTGCATAGGGCCCTGGGCCATTCCCCACCGCAGCTGACAACCAGAGAAAGAGGAGCATATATTGGATCACCCAGACTGGGTGGGGGTCCCTTTTATTTGAATTTGTTCCTGGGAAGCCAGGCGCTGTAGGTGGCCCTCAATGTGGAGCAGGATGGCATCCAGCATGTGGAGGACCCTGAGGACCAGGGTGCGGTCTGAGACAACGGCCGCCTGCCGTTTCCAGTGTCTGCAGGGACTGGGAGTCACCTGTGGGAGCTGAGGGTATAACAGCAGAGTAAGGATGGGAGGGGGCCAGGATGGACAGCAAAGCGGCTAAAGAGACGCGGGGCAGTGCCAACGAGGCGGGAGAGACAGGGCGATGGGAGCTACCAGGGGCTGCGTGGTCTTGGAGCCCATGAGGCTGAACGCAGGATGGGAGTATTAAATGGGGCACATGAGTCAGAGTACTGGCCCTGAGGAATGGCTGGGGATGGACTGGTTGTAGACTTGTTCCATAGAGATGCAAGGCTAGGACATAGGGGCGAGGACAAGGTCAGGCAGGAGGGCCCACAAGGCCCTAAGTCAGGTTGATAGGAGGACATGGGCCCATGGGGTGTGAGCAGAAGCAGGGATTATAAGGGACAGAAGGAGCTGTCCTCACCTGATCCTTAATGACCTGAGATCGCCACCGCTGTAACATCATATGGCCGATAGCCAGCATCATAGTGGTGGTGATCGTGATGCCAGCCACGGGGTAGATGCGACTTCCTCCCAGGGCCATCCAGTAACCAGGGCAGCCCAGACTGCTCCTGCAGCCATCCAGGCCATTTGGCTGGCAGCCCCATGGCTGCAAGTCCAGCCCCACTTGGTACCAGAGGGGCCGTGACCAGGCATGGCTAGGGACAGGCATCACCAGCAGGGACAGCGATGGCACTAAGAACAGCGAGTACAGCATGGCTGTGGCTACTGCAAGAGGCCGGAACCCGGGTACCTTGGCAACGGGCAAACACCCCTCCCCCAAGAGTAGGCCCCGCTGAGGCAGCAGGTTCCAGCTAGGCCCATAGCCTTTCAAAATACAGTTTGGCCGCATAATGAGACATGGGGGCAATAGTGCAGGTCTAGGGCCTGGGGCCCATCCTCCCAGGTGGACTAGGTATGATAGGAACACCTCTTCCATGCTGGCCTCCAACTCCCCTGTCATCCCCCAAATCTAAGCACCCCAATGCCTATGTTTTTAAGGTTCAACATCCTCTACTGGGCTAGCAACTGCCGGGCCGGTAAACCAGAGTGCAGGGGAGCTACCAGCAGCCTCCCATACCCAGTCCAGCTCTTCTCAGCGTTGTGCACAGCAAGGACTCACGGGTGTGGCTCCCTTGAAGGCCCCTGCTGGCTGCTGCCCCGCCTTACCCAGGCCTCCTGCCCTGCTGGCTGCTGCCCTTCCTCACCCAGGCCTCCCTCCCTGCTGGCTGCTGCCCTTCCTCACCCAGGCATCCCTTAATACTCTTCCTTGTTCAGGGAGTATGGTTTCCCTCCAGCGAAGTCTTCTTGAGGTTAGAGCGTCATGCACCGCCAGCACCACTCCCATGGCCTCCCCGGTGGTACGGTCCACTTTCTCTAACATGACCCCACATTCTTTCCTCTGGAGCCTTTCTGGCTACCTACCCAATCACCTTTAGTGTCCAGCTATAAAGAACACACCAGCTTCCTCCTAGCACCCAACCAAGGCCAGTCTGACAAGTTCTTGTGTCAAGACTGCCTCTGGCTCAACGTCTTCATTCAAACAATATCTGTCGATTGCCCAAGCCTGGGACCAGAATGCTGCCTGACAGAAGTCAAGCTCTGCCTTCCTGGGCTGAAGTTTTGGCGGGAGCCGAGCTGGCTTGTAAACACTACAGTGCCAGGCACAGGCAAATGCCATGATAAAAATAGAGACAGGCAAGGGTGCCTGGGATATTTGGAGGGCAGGGAGCCTTCATGTGCCGTTGGGAACTTGCCTGGGGCCTAATACTGAGCTTGGCACCTGGAGCACACCTGATGAATAGAGAAATTCATGTGTTCTGGGCAGGTGATGTGGGTACTACATTGTTCTCGACATTTCCACATGTCTGCTTGGTTAACTCAGCAGGCCACTCAGGAGGCTGGGCTTCCTCACCCATCTGAGGCCCAATGCCCCGTCCTTCTCCCCACAGGATCAGCGGCCTCACATGCTGTTGGTGTCTTATGCCGGAAATCAGCCAGTTCTTGGTCGATGGTGTCCAGCTGATCTCAAGGCTGAACTCTATGAGTAAACACTGACTTTTAAGTCCAGCAGCAGACCCTGAGAATGGCACTAGTGTTTATCTGAAAGCTCAGGGGTTCACTCTACATCCCCCAGAAGCACCAACTCTGCCTCTTATCAGGTTATCCTCGGGAATAGCTTAGTCCTGAGCTACAGCTCTGATTGCATTTATTTTTCCATTTAAAAGGGCGGTCTATGCGAAATGGAAGAGAACCTTGAGTCTGTAGAATCCCAGTCCAGTCTGGGCCCCGGAGCTGCCCTGCTCTGCATGATGCTCTCTGCCTGGCCCTGACCTTCCCGAGTCTTACCCCCAGCTCTGTCTACCGTAGTGTTTCTAAGACGGCTTGGGAGTCTGAGTTGAGGACGACGCACTAGCCACGCCCTGACCACACCACAGCAGGGCCTGACGTTGGACACACGCATTTATTCCCAGAGCTGTATGTAAATCCACATCAGCTCCCTCCCAGCACCCAGCCAAGGCCAGCCTGACTGCAATGCCCTGCCCCAAGCCTGTAGCACTGAACTCAGGGCATCCACGTGCTATATGTGCACAGACATGGACCGGAGTCCTGGGGGCACCTGGAGGGGACCCAGAGGCAGGAGTTTCATGAGGGTGACCTGTCACAACCTCTAGAGGTAGGCAATCTCCAGCAGCAAAGTCAGAGTTTGGTGGCCTGTGCGGGTGACAGAGGAAGTTTCAGTTAGTTTCCAAAGGACATATATGAAGCCCTGCTCCTAAGTCAGCACTCCTATACACACACACACACACACACACACACACACACACACACACGCACGAGGGGAGAGTAATGGGTTCAGTGTAGCCAGAGCCCTGGGCAATGGCATGGACTTTCTAGAGTTGGGGTCAGGGTGGGGATAAGCAACAGATTAACAAAACTGCTCAGTGGGCCAGAGTCAGCTTACCAAAACAGAGCTCTTAGGGCCAGGCTTCCGGTGGTGGAGGGCAAAGGTCACAGCGTCATGGACAGAGGCAAAAAGATGCTGCTTAGTGATAGAGTCATCGAAGAAGTGTCCAGCCTCAAGCTGGGTGACCACAGGACCTGTGGGCAAGGAGGAGATCCTGACACTCAGTACCATAGGAGACCCAGTCTCCAGGCACCCAAAGGATTCTCTGACCCCTGCTATCCGAGGCTACTTAGAGCTAGAAACCCAGTCACTTCTATATGTCTCTGTGTGTGTCTGTATGTCTATGTAAGTCTGTGTGTCTGTCTGTTTGTGAATATGTCTGTGTGTGTGTCTGTATGTCTATGTAAGTCTGTGTGTCTGTGTGTATGTCTATACGTCTATGTAAGTCTGTGTGTCTGTCTGTTTGTGAATACGTCTGTGTGTGTGTCTGTATGTCTATGTAAGTCTGTGTGTCTGTCTGTTTGTTTGTGTGTATGTCTGTGTATGTGTGTGTAGGGCTGTGTATGTTGAGGCTGGCTGACCAGCTAGCTCCTGGGAACCATCTGTCTCCACCCACCAAAGGCTAGCATTATAGGCATGCATAGACATGCCTGGCTTATTTTACATGGTTCTGCTGGATTTGAACTCAGGTCCTCATATGTGGGGAGCACTGAACCCTCTGAGCTCAGCACTTAACCCACTGAGTCATCTCCCTAGCCCTTCTCCTGACTCTTGACTCCTGGCTCCCAAGACCTGCAGTTTTCCTTGTGCCGTCTGACAAACCCTTGACCAGAAGAGTCCCACCCTCTGTCTGATCAGTATGACTATCCCCAGTCAACGCACTGTAACAGGCAGCGATGTACACTTCCACCTCGATCTCCCGGAAGTCATGGAAAATCTGCAGCAACAAAGAGGACTAGCTTCAGAGGGCAGCAGTTGGGCAAGATTTAGTGGAGGAGCTCAGAGGTCTTGGTTTGGGGGGCAAGTGATGTGGTCAGTGTGAAGGCTCAAGGGGTCCTAGCCCACCCACAGTTCCTTACGTTCTTCAGGGTCTTAATGCACACAGTGTCCACGAAGGAGAGAGTGCTCAGGTCTAGGATGAGGCTATGGAAGTCTGGCTGGGGTAGGCCAAGGGACTTCAGTGTGTTCACGGTTGGGGCCTTGACATCTTCTTGACTGCCGGTGACTGCATCCTCCAGCCCTTCCCTTTGGTGCACCTGCGGGGGATACAGATGTGCTAAAGGACCATCCCTGATAGAGCAAAGGCAGGGCATGCACATGGTATACAGCGACACACAGAGTCAGAGGGAAGCTATAAATGCATGTAAAAATGCAGATATATGAAGGCATGCATGGGACACATAAGGACACAGACATGGGTTGAAAGGAGACAGGTGGATCTATAACACAGGAGGACATGCAGGGACACAGGAACGCATACTCCAACATGCATAAACTTCCTGGACCAAAGCTTAATAGAGACACAAGAAGGGAGGGTACTGGGAAATCACGTCCCATCCTTAGCTAAACAGGGTGGAGTGGCTAGGAGCCTAGGAACAGACAAGATGGCCACAGCATTGTTGTGCCCACACTCATTCACACACACCTTATCCCCTGACCTGTCTGAGTCTTTGGTTGAACTTGGTATCCCCCTCCCCTCTGCTAGATTTTCCCAATATTTCCATAAGCGTAGACTGTGGGGTCTTGTTATACCTATAAATTCAAGGTCAGTCTATAAAATCTAGGTCAGTCTGAGATTATAGACATGAGCCAGGAGAGAATCTGGTATCACAAGGGTCTTCCCGCAGCGTCTGAGCCATCATCCTGTTCCTCCCATCATTAGCCCAACACTTTCAAGCCCACACTAGTGGCTTTTCTCATGTAACGTGTGTTGGCACCCGCACCTTCGCGGTTCTGGGCCATTCCCTCCGCCTATTTGTAGCCTCACCTTGGCCTCGGAACCCTCCACATCATTGCTTTTGATGTCTTCGAAGCCAGTGTTGATGTTGACTGAAACTGAGGCGATCTTGGAAGAGGCATCCTACGAGGGAAGAGGGGTGATTCGGAAAGTCATCCCAAGTGCCACATGACAACCATGCCAGGTGGACCTGGTACTGCCCCTGGCGTTGGGCAAGGAGCCACAGTAGGACAATGAAAGGGACCCTGCTGTGGTTCACGCTGTGACTAATACAGGCGAGGGGTATAACATTTTCAGAGCTTTCCCTGCCCTGCCCAGGGCTGAAACAGGGTCTCCAGGGTGCTGAGGGAGAAAGGGGAGGGACAAAGAGTAGTGAAGAGAAATGACAGGTGAGGAAATGGGACAAGGACCAGACTGGGAGAAAGGCTAAAGAGGATCACGAAATGGCTGGGGGTCAGGGTTGGGTCCCCAGTAGGGCTGGGCCAGGAGGAGCTGCTGAGGGGATGGGGGGGGGGCTCCACCTGCTTCTGAGACTTCTTGGCTTTTTTCATTCGCTTCATCTTCATCTCCTGTTTTTTGATTCGCTTCTTTTTCTGGGAGACGAGGTGGTCCACGTTCACACCACACTAGAGACACAGTCAGAGGTAGGCTCTGGGTCCTCTGGGGAGAGGAGCGGCACTCAGACCCCCACACACACACCAAGCAGGGGGACCCTGGCCTCACCTTCTGTTTCAGCGAGTCACAGTAGAGCTCAGCATTGGCAAAGTAAATGGTGGCTGAGGAGCGAAAGATCTTCACACCAGGGACCTCCTTGGCCTGGAGATGAGTGGAGTTGGGGTGGCTGAGCCTTCCTTGCCTTCTCCCGCATCCTCTTCACTCAGCTTGCCTCTCTTAGACAGCCTGCTACCCTCTGCCCCAGGCTGCGGCTGATACCCTTCCAGGAGTCTGGGCATATGCCTGGCTATACCACCCTAGCTCCTGTGCTGCACAGGTTCTGTCCCTCCCAACTCTCCTGTCTGTCACCAGGTTTCGGGGTTCAGCTCTCAGCCCCCCTGTCCCTGAGTCTCCCGTCCCTGCCCTCTGCTGTTTTCTGCATGCAGACAGAAGAGCCACCCCAACCTGGCATTCCACTCCCACCTTCCCCATTCCATTCACAGCTCAGGTCTCCCCTGAGCACTTGGGCCTGGACCATGTGGGCCGCCTCCCAGCCCCACGTAGCTGCCTGCTCCCCTCATGTCTCCCACACCCAGACCCCTCACTCTACTCTTTAGCCTGCCTAGTCGTACTGCACTCGGCTTTCAGGGCTCCAGGCCAAAGTGATGGAGCTTACTTTATTCCAAATTCTCACAAAGCCTTTGTTTGCATGACACGACATAGGGTTTTACACAAACTAGCAGGCGGGGACTTTTGATTCCCACTGAGCAGACCAGGAAACAACCTTCTCTACATTCTGTGTCCCCGCCCCCACTATCCCATTCTTTTGACCCAGGGGTATTCTACAGCATAGGGCTTATGAGTCTGGCTCCAAGACTGCCAGTCACTCATGCAATGAATAGGGTCACACACTCAAACTCCTCTCTTCAAATTCGAAGAACCAAAGTCAAAATGCTTCCAGTCTGGGTGTGCACCTTGCATGGAAAGACATTGGCTACCTCCCTCTATGGCTCTTCCCCTTTGAGACAGGGTCTCTTACTGAACCTGGAGCTTACCAATTGGCTAGACTAGCTGGCCAGAGGGCCCCAGAGATCCTCCTGTCACTGCCTTCCGAGCACTGGGGTCACAGACATGCATGCTGCCATGCCTGGCATTTGATATGGGTGCTGGGGATCCATATTCGGGTACAGCAAACAGTTTATCCAGTGAGCCATTTTCCCAGCCCATCCCCCAGTGTTCTGTGCATGTGGAGGAAATAAAGAGGGCCCGTTTGTCTTGTCTGCCCCACCTCCCATTTAGCCTTGCCACTCACCCCTGAGTATTCTGCCACGTCTCTATAAATATCCGTATCTGGCACCTGCCCCAGGATAGAGTAATGGGGCCTGAGGAGAGAGTTGGGGGGTGGGGATGGAGAGAAGGAGGCAAAGAAAAGGCCATGAGAGGGGAATGAGGAACTTGGGGTGTCCCCAGAGATGTAAGGAAAGTTGTGGAGAGCCAGTGTGAAACTTACTCCCTCACCAGGCTGGAATTGGGAGTACCAAAAATGGTGGACTCACAGCTGCATTCGGATCACCACGAGCAGCAGGGAGAACACTATGGAAACCGCCAGGCCAATATCCAGGTTCAGCAGGATGGTAGCCACAAAGGTCACCAGCCAGATTAGCTGATAACAAAATGTCAGAGGTCAAAGGGTCCATTGGCACTAGAAGCCCCAAAGCCCAGGGCTGGGCTCCCAAGCTTCTCACCAGGTCCACTCGATTTGCCTTCCAAAGAGAGCAGATGTCAGAGAACTGCTTCATCATGCCCTTTAGATTCACAATAATCACAGCTGCCAGGACGGCCTGTAGCAGGGACAATGTCGCCAGGGTTGCTGAGAGGATCCACCACCCAGGCACGACCACCCATGCTGGCCAAGCATTTGGGCAGAGCCCAGCCCACAGCCAGCTACCACCCCACACCAACCTTAACCCCTTGGAGCTGATTAGAAACTTCTAACCCTTGACCTCTAATTCCAGATTGTATCCCCAGAGCTCAACCTCATATCTCTGAGTCCCTTAGATGGAACTAGAGTGACTGACTTGGGTCTGGCCAAGCTGAGGCTCGGAAGGCTGGCTGGGAGGGGTAGAGGCTCACCTTGGGCAGGTCTCGGAAGAGTTCCCCGAGTTTGACGATAATAAGAAGAATGAAAAGGGAGGATACAGCTCCGGCAACCTACAGGGTGGGGGTCAGCAGGGAGTGAGGGTGAGGAGAAGCAGGACCACCCTGGCAGAACAGCATGCATACCCAGATGGAAACATGCCCACACACACGCATGCTCACACCAAGGCCCACCTGTGTGTTGCCCCCGGTACCCTCCTGTACCAGGCTCCGAGACATGGAGCAGCTCACGGGGAAACACTGGAAGAAGCTGCCAATGAGGTTGCTGAGGCCAAGGGCCACCAGCTCCTGTGGGGGAAGTGCGGTGTGAGAAGTCTATCTCTAGGCATATCTAGGATGACATTCTCCCAATCCCCATCCCCACTCAATGGCCTCCAATGTTTGACTGTTGTCCCAAACATCCTATTCTTCCTGCCCTCAGTCATTTCTAAGTACAGTCCAACCCTTCTCTGTTTCTCTCCTATCATATGGCCTTGTGTTCACCTGCATGACCCACATCACAGACCTGGTTACTGTCCACGCGGTAGCCATGCCTCAGGGCAAAAATATTCCCAAGCGAGATGGCGATGGCGAAGCCAACCACAGCAATGGCAAAGGCATTTCCCACGAGTGTGGCAAACAACTCTGTCTTGGGTGGCACCGGGGGTATCAGCCTGGGAGGAACACCTGTGAGGTCAGAGGATGGCCCTGGCTCTACCTGCCCCCCGCCCTGTCCCGTCCCTGACAGAACCAGAGCTCACCCTGTGGTGATGTTGCCCACCACGTCTACCTGGAATCTTTCACGGAGTTGAGCACCGAAGGAAATACCGGTGGCCCCAATGAGCTGTGGGGAAAGGATAGAATTAGGGCAGGGAAGTCCTGGCAATATCCTAAGGGAGAAGCTTAACCATTATGGGGGACAAAAGCTTTGAGGAATGAGAAGTTGTGGATAGGCTGAGAGGCAAGCACTACCATTTGAGGAAGGAGATTAGCTGTCAAGGGTGGTAAGAAGCCAATCTAGGGCAGAAACCCTGACAGTGGTCACTCCGTCTGGCCCTGAAATACCTCGAGGTTGTATCCTGGCCGGATCTACCCTAGCATCCGCCCTTCTCCTCTGTCCACCATTCCCTGGTACGCGAACCAACCGTGAGCAGTTCCCCAGGTATGGGCAGGGGCAGATAGCGCTTCAGCTTCTCATTCAACAGCTTCACCAACACAAGCACCACTCCTGCTACAAGTGCCGTGACCAGGGTGCCGGGCACCGTCTGGGGCAGCTTTGCGCAGACCTCTAGCACTGTCTGAGGAGAAGAGGTGTTACAGCCAGCATTCAATGTCATGGGCGCAGCACCTACCCACCCTGGCCCCCACCCTCACTCACATAGATAACGGACAGTGGCCCAGAGTGACTGTTCAGTTTGATGCCAAACACATACTTGAGCTGTGAGACGAGGACTTGCACAGAGGCGGCTGTGGTGTAGCTGCGGACCAGAGGCTCCGACAGGTAGGTGACCACAAAGCCGAAGTGCACCAGGCCCAACCCCACCTGGTGGCCAGTCAGGGAATGTCAGGGAGCAGAAATCATAAAGCAAGTGGAATCAGAGGGAATGAAGGAACAGCGAGAGGACACAGTGTAAGTCCAGGCAGCTAGGGGGATGGCCATGCCGTACCTGGAAGAGGCCAACCAGGAAACTGAGCGTGTAGGCCACCTGCACCCGGGCATCATCAACTGTGGCGTTCAAGCCTTGCACGAAGGCCTCGTCCGCAGTCAAGGATTCTGTCACGCCGCCCACCATCACAGACATGACAGCAAAGGTCCCTGAAGGGGCAGGACGGGACAGGTCAGAAGGGAAGAGGATGCTGTCCCGCTCTGGAGCCCCAGTCTTAGCTAAAGAGGCCAGCAGACAGATATCCTTGGATTACAGTTGTGCAGTACGGTTGAGGCGGTACTGGTCAGGTACGGCCAAGGTCAGAAGCGAACCTTGAGCTCACATGCTCGCCACCTAGTCTCACCAGTGTCCAGTGTTCTGCGACACAGACTCTCTGGGAGCAAGAGAAGGATCATGGACAGGCTGGACAGGCCTCTAGGAATTTCCTGGCCCCATGGACTGCCTCATCCACCCTGAAGCCAGAGCTTTGAGATATCCTGAACCTGTAATCCCTACAGTCGGTTCCCTAGTACTTCTTGGGGTGACCCATATGCCATTCTCTTAGTGATCTAGCACCCACACCGCCCTAGTCCCAAGCTCCCCTGCTCAGCCTGCCACTCCCCTCCACAGAAGACGGCCTCTATGGAAAGCTAGGCCCGACTCCACTTACCCACAGAGATGTGTCGAGAGGTCCCAAATAGGAAATAGACGAAGACGGGGTAAAAAGAACTGTACAGGCCAAACATAGGAGGCAATCCCGCCAGGAGGGCGTAGGCTAAGCCTGCAGGTAGAAGGGTGCAATGCAGACTTGGAGAGAGATTAGGGTCTCAGAAAGGTGGGGGGATCCAAACCCTGGGTTCAGGGGCCATAGTTCCAAGGGCAGAGGTCGTGGCTCCTGGTTTGGCGTTTCACAGACCACAGAGCTTGCAGTCCAGGCTGTTGAAGGGAGCTCACCCTGTGGAAGCTGCATGATGGCCACGCTCAGGCCAGACAACAGGTCACCCAGGAGCCAGTCTCGCACAGGATAGCGGGGTAACCAGCCCAAGACCGGAACGTAATGGAGCAGAAGAGCATGGGCCCGAGCACGGGAGCACCTGGGGACATGAAGAGTTAGTTCATCAGAGACAGAACTCGGGCCCTGCCACAACACCCCATACCTCAACCCCTCATCGTTACCGAAACCAAGCTCGCCACTGGTAGGTCTTGGTCACCGGGCCCCAGTGTCCCAGATCCTCTAGCTGCTCCTGGTCCAGCAGAGGCCTCTCCACATGGTAGTCTCGCCTCTGCAGCTCCATTTCTTGTGTGGCAGACAGCAGTGCCTGTGTCTGCTGTGTCCCGTGGTCTAGAGAGGTGGGACCACAGACATACACTGAGCATTGCCCCTGTCCCAACCTTTCCTTCACTCTACCTGGGTCCACAGAGTCACATACCTGAGTTTTCCAGGCTCAAAGATCAAGGATAGAGCCAACCCTGCTGGTCTCTGAGGGCCCCGTGTTCACACCCAGACAGGGGCAGTACCTGAACTTTGGCTGCTGGAAGCCGCTTTCTGGGCCAAAGTCTCTCCGGGAGGGAGAGTGGGATGAGCATGCCCTACACATCCAGCTCAGGTGTGGCTGCCCAGCCCTGAGTACCACTTCAAGTCCACGTCCAGGTCGGGGTCCACATTCAGACTGGCAATTTCTCCTAGCCCCTACCTCTCAGCCCCTTGCCTTCCCTGAACAATTCCTCTTCCAGCTGTACCACAGAGCCTGCATCGCTGGCAGGGAGCATGTAAGATCTGTAAGCAATACTGCCCCCAGGCTTTGGGACAGAACCCACCTAGACACCTGAAGTTTCAGGGTCCAAGCTCTCACCTCCAGACACCCCCTTGAAATAGGAAAGAGTTGCCTGGAAACAGGTGTTTTCAGAAGCCAATCCAACCTAGAGGGAACCCTGCCCAGACAGCCATCACCAGCCAGGCAAGTTCTGACCTGGGGGTGAACCCCACACCTACCGGGAGGCACCTCTGGGAGAAACTTTACCAAAGAATAGGGGCTGGGGGAAGGGAAAGGTTCTCTCTCATCTGGGGGAGTTCTCTCAGAAGAAACTGAGCTGGGGAGACTCCATAAGGAATGTAGCTCTCCTCTGCGAACTTTGGGGGTGGGGGTAAATCTGGCGGGAGAACTAACATTTGGGGAAAGTTTTCACCGGTCAGTTGTGATCTGGAAGCAGCTATAACCAGGGGAGAGGATCCCACCAGAGGGGTAGGAACTCACCTGGGAAGAGCCTCTAGCCTGGGTATCCACGTTGGAGGGAGCAGAGAAGGTGCAAGGAAGATCCTCAGAGGTTCTGTGCACCTCTGGCTCACGGAGACCTCAGGGCCCCCTCTCCCTCTCCTTCGAGAGCGCTAAGTCTTCTTAAAGGGCCCTCCCCTTACCAGGCAGCACGCGCCCGGGGGCGGAGCCTTGCTCTGGCACCGCCCTTTGGGAGGGTACAAAGGCCCTCAGCACCAGAGGGCTCAGAACCACGCGGACTCCGGCCGCGCCTGGTCCAGGGACTGGCTAGAACTTGTCTTGCAGCGGTCTGCCTGCCGAGCCCAGGCACCCAGCCGGCGCACCTCCAGGACCTGGGCTCCTTGGCAGGCAGCAACCTCCCTGCGGCCCCCTCATTAGGACTCCAGGGACTTTCGGTGCAACCCTCTAGAGCTAGGTTCGTGCCGGATCCCACACCCATCCCTCGCGGCTGATGGACAACCACCTGCGGAAAATCGGCAAGGCGGTAAACTGAGGCTGTGCAGGCGGGAGATGCCTTCTGGGAATTTGGCGGTTCCCTTTCACAACTGATCTAGGCCGGGAGTTACAGTACTAACACTTCGTGGACACGCGGAATTCGGGCGGCGCCCTGAAACTCACCGGACCCATCGGACAGCCCCATGGCCCCCAGATAGCTCAAGTGCCGCGGGCTCTGACAGCTCCCGCGGGAGGCCACTGCCGGTGCGAAGGTGGCGCCAGGCCGAGAACGAGGCCGGCATCACGCTCCACAGCCGGGATGTGCACGCTCAGACCAATGAGAATTCGAGGGCGGAACCTAAGTCATACTTCCCGGGCGGGGGTGGGGGGGACGAGCCCGGAGAAAGAAGGTTTAACCCTTTCCTTCCCAGAGGCCAAGTTTAAGTCCTCCCCTGCAACTCTGGTCGGTTTCAGCTAGCTAACCAGCAGCCTGGAGCTGGGGGACTGGAACAAAGGACCCGTGGCTCTGGGCCTCTGAATGGCTGGATCTGATCTTACGTTCTGGCTTTGTGAAGGGCCCCGGTAGTGCGGGGGAGAAATCCTTGAATGATCTGGATGCTTAGATGCGTAATCTGGGCCCCTAACCTCAACTGTGGGAGATCTAGGTCTGTAGAGTCTCTTAGGGACAATCAAGCTGTGCACACCGCCCCCAGACTTTCCCGCTGAGACCTGGCACAGTGGTCCTCAAGTTCTCCTACCTGCCTCCACCCACCAGACAAGTTCTCCGTGTAGCCCCAGCTATCCTGGAACTCTCTCTAGACCAGGCTGGCCCCCTTATCAGAGATCCACCTGCTTCAGCCTCTTGAGTGCTGGGATTAAAGGTGTGGTCAAAAGCGTTTTGACCACTGGCTTCTCAAGACCTCCCTTTGGATTCTGGCTGCCTAGACTGGAAATGAGTCTGGACCCACCCCAGACTGATCTCGGAAGGGAAGGGAAGCTCTTCTGAGTTTCCAAGCTTCTGACCAGATCCAAGTCAGAGACCATGAAGGGTCAGAGTGTGGGTGGGTAAGGTACACACTGGGAAGGCAACTCCTAGGTTTGGTTTGACAAATGGGCAGGGCCACAAATCAGGCTCTGGAAATCAGGAAGCCCTCCCATTGCTGCCTAGCCCCAGAAGAGGCTTCTCTTGCCCAGCTCCTATGTTCTAAGTTCAGTCCAATCACAAGGTGAAAGGCCATACTTCAGAAAGCAGTAGGAACCTGGTCCAAATCTGCCATGAAATGAACTAAAAATAACTGGATATTTTGGAGGGAGGAGGGCTCAAATTCCTTCCAAGGTCATTCTGGGTGAATCACTCGTAGCAACCACCCCTACATCTGAAACAGAAAGAGCAACAAGTGTTTTCTATAGAAGTTTATTCCCAAAACAGAGCGCGGCTTCACGGAACAATTTACACAGACAGGAAAGAGGGCCACTGTGCTGGAGGGGGACTCCAGAGACGGGCATCTACAGAACCTAGGACATAGCAAGGACACTCTCCCACTGACAGGCCACTCAGCCCTTCGGGGCAGAGGTCAGCTCAGTCTGGGTAAGGAGAGTTAGCGACCGCTGGTGGGATTTGGCACAGGCAGCGAAGTGGGGTTTTGAATCTCAAAAACTGCCTCCCAAGCGTATACACCGGGTAGAGGTGAGCAACCTTTGCCCAGAACCCCAGCCCTGAGCCTCCTTCAGGGTGTGCTGTTAAACAGAAGACTCGGTTGACATTTGGCCTGGAAAGGGTCAGGGTTAGACGCCTCCCTCAAGATGACCAGGTCCAGGGATATCACAGGTGGGTCTTCTAAGCCCCTCTCCCACTTCTCCTACCTTTCACTTGTAAACAAACGGGAAACCATTCTCAACTGTAAACAAAGTGTGGAAGTTCACTGTTTTACATTGTAGACAGTAAATAAAAACCAACACTTTAAAAAAAAAATCTTGACCTGCAAACAAGGTAACAAAAATTTAAAGTCCCCAGTTGTGGACATCAGACAAATAACAAAAGAGGTTTGTGAACAGGATCCTAACAGTCATTTTTCCCTCTATAAGGGAATAACAGACTGTGGGGCAGTCACTGCTACAGCCTGGTGCCAGGGAGGATCCTGCAAACAGTGGGAGGCCGAGGCACCTACATTCTGGGTCTTGGATTCCCTTGTTTCTGCTCCTTTGTTCACCTCCCACTCATCCCTCCAGGGGGCAGTGTAGTGAACAATGGCACCACAGACTAGAGTTGCTGCAGAGGAAGAAGCAGAGACAAAGGAGTGTCCCCTCTACTCACACCCTGGTAGGAATGTCTGATTAAAGGCCCGAGTCCCTCCCCAAGGGAGGAAGGGAAGGAAGCCTTGATCTGTAAACATGACGTCTGCTGCTCTCCCAGCGCCCACAGCATCAGTCCTGGGTCTTAAGGCAGTAAGTGGCAGGGACTCCAAGAAATACACATCCACATAGCGGAGTAAGGGCACGAGTAAGCCCTCAGGAGGGAGTGGGAGGACCCCTTTCTGCAAGACCAACCCCCACACACTGGAGTTTGGCCTGTGGGGCACTGGAGAAAATGCAAAGATCAAATTTGCACTCTGGGCCCCAACACTGTTCAGATCAATGTGGGGAAGAGGCAGGGGAAGTGTCCCACTTGTCCACCCCACCCGTAAGATGAAAGAAAAGAACCCGGATGAGGCCAACTGCATCTCTCCCCCATCCCCTCCCAGCCCAGTCTCGGACCCCTGGGACACAGAAGAGCTGAAAAATAACATAAGCATATCTCTCTGGTTACAAAGTTACAAAATGTATAAAAGTCCTCCCTCCAGCCCCCACCCGCACCTGTCACACTCATGCTCACAGATGCATGGGACTGTCACACTGCACTGAGGAGGGCCTCAAGAGGGCTGCCTTGGGATCAGTCATGACGCCTCTTCCATGGCCCAAATCCTCTGCTGCCCGTGGTGGCTCCTCACCTGCTGCCAGCCCCTCAGGAGTGACCTTCGCTTCTGGGAATTCTGTTGAGTGTGGAAATGGAAGGCCATGGCTAAGACGACTTCCCTCTCAGCCCTCAGCCCCCTCATGCCCACTCCATGGTTCTGCGCCCTGCAAACACCCATCTGGACCTCCACAGCCTAGACCTATTAGCAGGTGGCTGCCTAGGTCTCGGTGCTTAGGAAACCACCTATGCAGAGACTACATGAAGCATCCGTAATTCAGACAATACCACAAATCTCCGCATCCCAAGGAGTTTGTTTCTCTAAACTGAGTCTACAGACAAAGAGCTACTGTGTAGCTTGAATTATGCCTCACCTCATCAAGGAGATGCGAGATGGGACCGAAACTCAGGTGACTCTGAAGCTTGAGTCCTCAGTCCCCTGGCACTTGTGCAGCCCCCAAGGCCAGACTGCAGGGACCCGGGTGGGTTGTCTCTTCCTCACCCTTCCCTTTCAGCGTCCCGCCACAGCTCTGGTTCCTGCTCAGTCCCTTGGTCCCCTGCCCTATGCACAGAGGCCTACTTCCCTCCCAGTCATGTCTCCTCCAGAGCTTGACCTGACAGTTTCTCCTTGACTGACAACTCTCCATTGTCTTCTTAGACCTGGCAACTCCCCCGCGGGGCCCTGCTTACTCTGGGTCTGGCAATGCTCGTTCCTGCTCCCCTATACCTTCGTGGATTCCTGTGTGTCCAGACACTTCTGGGTGTCTCTGGCATCCTCAACCCCACAGATGCCTTGTGGGCCTTTGAGTTGTACTGTGCCTAACCCCACAGCGCCCACAGGTGGGAGCAGTCTCATGTCATGGAATACAATAATGAGCAAATGACATTCTCAGTCTGGCACAATATGCCACTATTCCTCATGACCATCTGAACAAAGATTCCTCTCATTGTCTCATGCAAATGCCAGGTTATTTCGTACTTTGATGCCCTGACTCCTGCCTGCCCCCTCCACTAGTTCCAGTCTTTGGCGGTACTTTTCTGGGATGTGTAAGCAAGTTCCAGCTAGCCCTGTTCCCATCTTCTGCTAGAATTGTCCCTAATGTGGTCTCCGGGCTATGCTGAGCCTGGAGTGGCCCGTATCTATGGGCTAACTCCCAATTCATTCTACGGTGGACTCGGGTGGGTACGTGGGGCAGCTGCTCTAAGCTGACAAGAGTGTGAACAGGTGTCTGGGCCCTGCTTACTCTGAATCTGGTGACAACTCCGAGATGCTGTGGGATGTGGCTGAGCGAGGTGTGGAAGGCCCAAGTGCAGAGGCTGTCGCAGAAGGCGTGGCAGTGGTGTGAGGGCCCGAGGGCGTGCTTGAGGACTGCACTGAAGACAGGGCTGAGGAGTTGAAGGAGGCAAGGATAGAGGAGAGGATGTCGAGTTGCTCCGTGGAGGGGCCATGGCTAGGGCCACTGGCTGGGTCCTCCCTGGCTCTGAGAAGCTGTGGGGCTGGTCCAAGGGCCTCTCGTGAGGGATGCCGACTAGGCACCTGGTCCAGCTGCTCCCGAGAGTTCGAGATCCTAGACAGAGAGTCCAGGGGCCGAGATGGCAAGAGGGGGTCCCTTGAGAATTGCCGCTGTGGAGTCAGGGGCAGAGGTGGGTGCTGTGGGTCAAGGTCCCGGTTGCGGCGGGGTGGGGGCAGTGTGTTCAACCATTCTCGGGGTGCCCCTAAGTCCAGTGGATCCCGTGACCCAAAGCGTCCAGCCATAGTTCCAGGGTAGTCCCGGGGTGGCTGCCTCCGTGGTAGGGTGCTGACCCGATCTCTGGGCTCTAGGCGGCTTGGTGCAACATCCAGGTGTTCCTGGGAGCCTGGCCGGCTCAGGGGACGCAAAACAGGGGCGGGAACTGGAACTTCCTCTAGTCTCTCCCGGCTCAGTTGCCGCCTTAGCAGCAAGTCCAGCTGCTCTCGGGAAGAGTAGCGGCTGGCTGGCTGTGAAAGACTACCTGTGCCCCCGCCTGCATAGATGCGACCATAGGAGGCAGCTGGCACAGCCCGGTGGCCCAAGGTAGCTGCACGGCACCAGGACAGCTCAGGAGTGCCTCGAGTCTTGGGCACCAATGGGTACTGCAACCTATTCTTTAGGATGCCTGTGGAAGAATTGGGGACAGATTATGTATCAAAGAGTAGGCAGGAATCTAGTCAAGGAAGTGCAGACGTGAGAGGAAACTCCAGAGGTCCTACACAGACAGTGGAACAGGGTCAGAGTAGGGAACAGGAATCTTGTGGGTCAAGCTAGGGCAGTCACCGTGCAGGGTCAGGGCAGACTTCCAGGAAGTCAGAAGCGGGATAACCCTAAGGCCTGGAAATACAGGCCTGGGTCAAAAGGGTAGGAATTCCCTGGGCTGGAGCAGAAGCAGTCTCCAGTGTTCCTGTGATGCAAGACCAAGGGCAAAACCCTCTTGTGCTGGTGCAAGGACAACCTCGGGACGCTACAGCCAGTGTGAGAGACAAAGACCTAGAGCAGAGCAGGAGCTCTGGACTCCAAGGTCACAGCTTCTGTGGTTTGCAAAGTGAGTGGGAATGCAGAAGCAGAGAGAAGATGGCTTCTGAGGATGCAGGAGTACAAGCCAGGATATGGAGGGGGCAGGCAGTCTCTGGGGACCATGAAGCAGGTTGAGGAGCAGGAGCCTGTCAGAGTAGAGCAAGATGACCTCCGCACTTGGGACCAGGAAGCTCAATTCCCATCAAGTCTGGGCCCAAACAGCCTTCAGGACTCCTACAGCCAGGCCAAAGGGTTAGGAAAAGGCCTACCTTTCCTCTGCCGCTGGGCCCGGCCCAGGGAGGTTTCATCTCCACTAGTTAAGGCCAGATCTGGCTGGTTGTTATTGGCCGCATCTTTGTTGGTGTCTAGTCCAAGGCGCCTCTCAGAGCCCCAGGCCTGCAGAGCGCACGGTGCTGCTGCCTCACACTCTCCCAGGGCTGGCCAGTAGGACAGGAGGTCATTGCCGTCCATATCTGTGAAGCCAGAGCAGGTTACAGGAGCCTTGGGCTTGACTCCAGTGCTTCCTAAGACCTGTGAACCAGACTCTGTGACCCCTGGACCTAAGACTCTTCAAGCTCTGGCTGTCCGCACTGAGAAATAGGAACAGGAGAGATGGAGCGATGGCTCAGCAAGCGAAAGCACTTCGCCGCCACCAAGCTTGTTAGGCTATGTTTGACTCTCAGGACCGTATGGAAGAGAGAACTGACTACCACAAATCGTCCTGTGACCTCCACCCGAGGACAGTTGGCATACACACCTACACACACATATACAAAATAAAAGTATTTTTTTAAAAAAGGAATAGAAACAGGAGGGTGTCCCTTCTCAGATCAGTGGAGCCCCTGAAGGAAGGTTTACTGCAGAACCATCCTTCTCATCTAGAAGGGTGTAGAGGAGACAGAAGTTAGTCTTCATCCTTAGATACAAGGGTACAGATGAGATGGCAGTTTGGTGGCTGAGATTAGGAGGATCGAGATAAACCCCAAACCACAGGGATGCTAGGCAGTTGAGGGGACAAGTTACTCTGTAATCTCTGGCCTCAATATCATCGCCCAGGTTGCTCCTGGGTCCCCAAGCACTCCTAAAAATCTGGGTGGGAACGGCACATAGGGTCCCAGTGGGTCAGGCTCAGGAATCGTAAGGAGATGGTAAGGTCCCTACATCACATCTCGGTGAATCATGGGAGTCCCTTGATCACCCATAGAATCAGCAAGTTTCTGTCACCTTTGGGGTGGGCAAGGAGCCTCTCACTCTGGGCTGCCCTGCAGAGTGGACGTTGGAAACGCCCTCGCGTCCGGCCATTGTCCTCACTTTCTGAAGAGGGGATGGAGAGACTCCTCTCCTCCTCCAAGGACAGGTCACTGTCAGAGTCAGAGTCCGCACCTGGGGCGAAGGTCAGGAGGAGGGTGAAGAAGCAGGGGACTTCGGGGATAAGGAAAGTCCCTAGCTGAGGGTCTGGAGGTGGGCAAGCAAGGCAGCAAGCAGATTAAGGTGGGGGCTGAATGGAGCTTGCGGGGGGACATAAGGACTTGAATTAATCAAGGGTGAACTAGACAAGCAAGGATGGGTAGGTGCCTTCTGGGGCAGTGACCTGAGAGGAGCTTGCCCTGCTCAGTTAGCCATTGCCCCCAGCTTGGGGTAGAAGAAGGCAGATCATAAAGACACCCTCTACGCCCCTCCTCCCTGACCCAGGGCTCCAACTCCACCAGCATCTCGATGGAACATAGCCACATCCAGGTCAGTGGGGCCAGTGTGAGCCTGGAGGCTGTGCTCAATGTGGTCAGCGGTTGAGCCATGTCGAACCAGAACATTGTCCCTGGAAATGCAGAATCCTCCATCAGAGAAGACTGTGACAAGTTGCTTTGGAAGCTGGGGAGCCTTTGAGTGCATGGCCTGCTGCATGTGGAATGGCCGAGGGAGCCTTTGAGTGCATGGCCTGCTGCATGTGGAATGGCCGAGGGTGGCTTTGAGTGCATGGCCTGCTGCATGCGGAATGGCCGAGGGTGGCTTTGAGTGCATGGCCTGCTGCATGCGGAATGGCCGAGGGTGGCTTTGAGTGCATGGTCTGCTGCATGCGGAATGGCCGAGCGAGCCTTTGAGTGCATGTGGAATGGCCGAGGGTGCCTCTAGGACTATTTATCAGAAGACATCTGGGCAGGGCTGCTGCAGAGTTCCAGGTGGTCACCCTCCCTAGCATCTGATAAGGTCAACGCTTGGTGACATGGAACTAGACTAAGTCATATATGGTCACTCACCTGAGGTAGCTGCGGCCCCGTTGGCTGTCCTGGTCCTGGGCCCTGCCGGAACGGGCACTGCTCACGGAAGAGACGGTGGAGGCACCAAGAGTGATGCGGATAAGGCCACTCTCCTCAAAGAGGGCGGTGTTGTTATAGACTCCAGACCCCTGAGGGACAGGGGTGTGAGCTAGTTCCCAGGCATCCTAGGGTTCCCATCCCTACCTCCAGCCTTAGCAGTCTCTCACCGTCCCGGGTGCTGGCCTTGTCTCCTCAGGAGCTGCCTTCTTGCCTAGACAGGCCGGGGTCCAAGCAGCCCGAGCATCGGCATTCAGGACACAGAAGAGCAGCAGGACAGCCAAGCCCTGTGGGTCAGTGAAGGTCAGTGAAGGTCACTGAGAGATCAGAAGACAGAAGCTCAGAATACAGCCGACAGAGAATCAATCAGGAGCCAATAAAAGTCTCTGTGAGTCAGCAAAGACGGGAGTATCGGTGTGTGGGTGTGTGTGGGTACAGGTTAGGGTTGAATCAGTGATCCAAGGGTGAGGATCAGAGAGAAAGTGAGGGAACATCTCAGGACCCATAATGAGAAGGCCAAATGGCAGGAGGAGCTGAAGTCAATGCTAGTGTGGTTAGCAAGGGATCAGAAGCTGCAGTGCTGGTGAAGGGCAGCCCAGGATCAGCTCTCAGCCTGATCTCAGTGACTACTTGGGTATCAGTTATATGCCTGCGGTCAGTAGCCAGGGTCAGTGTCTAGTTTAAGATTAGCATAGTCATTCAGCCAGAATGAGCTCCGGGCCTGGTGGCAATGCCACACCTAGGGATAGGCTGCTGAAACCCCATCCGGGTCTAGGATGGGAGAGGGCCACCAGAGGTACCTGAAGGCCACAGAGTCCAGCATGGAGGTAGTGAAAGGCCAGTACGCTGTGGTTGACTGCCAGGAGGCCAAAGAGCCAGGAGGCACTGACCAGCAGGAGGAGCAGGAAGGAGCTGCGCAGGGTCCTGCTGTAAGGACATGGGAGGACACAGGAGGACACGCCAGGGTCAAGCAGGGCTTATGTAGGGGACACAGGAGGACAGACAGGGTACATCAAGAAAACACTTCACACAAGAACATGGAAGTCTAAGGAGGATACTAAAGAAGACGGGCAGTCACGCAAAGAACCGGGAGAGCATTCAGGGAACCCTGAGAGACTGTGGGAGAGACAAGGAGTCAGGGAGCCACGAGACAACAGGAGATAGGCAGACATGTAATGGGGGGTAAAGTGAAACATTCAGGTCGTGGAGGAGTCCTGGGACACTCAAGGGACTGGGAGACAACAGAGCGAAAGTCCATGTGAGGCTGGAGAGGGAGCACAGGCCAAGGCAGGAAGGACTTCCCTTCATGCAGAATTTGGAGCCCAACCTCCACCAGAGCCCACCCAGGAGGAGTCTGCCATCTTGAGGACCCCTACTTCCCTCAACTAGCCAACTCACAGCACAGAGGTCTTCTTGGCCTCCCTCTGCCCTGTGGAGCAGGATGTGCGGGCAGCGAGGAGAAACATGGTCCCATTCATCTACACCCATAGTCAGGTGGAGCGGGGAGAGAGAGACAGAGACAGTAAGAAACAGAAAGAGACCAAGACCACAAGCCCGAGCATGGAGAGAGAGAAAATGAGAGGGGAGGGGCGAGTATGACTCAGAACGAGACAGAAGAGCTCAAAAACCACACAAGAGTCAGAGATGGAAAGGGAAGCTGAGTGGGGTTGTGACAGTGACACAGAGAAATGGAGACAGCACGAGAGATAGCTAAGTCTTTGACCCAACTGACCCCCCACTTTCATGCCAGCTGAGTGGGAGTTCACTGTGACCATACACGAGATGGAAGCGGTCCAGGATGCCTGTGCCCCGCCACCTGCTACTCCATCACTTGCTCCAAGTCTCCTCCCTCCTTCCTGAAAATGAAGCACACAGTGGCACCAAGAGCCGGACACTCACCACAATGACAAGGACAATAGGGCCAGCAAAACTCCAGATAAGAGGTTCATGGATGGAGATCCAGCAGAAGTCAGAGTTCCCATAGCCCTCTGGGTCTAGTCCAACAGCCAGGCCTTTGGAAAGAGAAGAGTTAGAACCAAGGAGGTGTAGTCTAAATTCTAACCCCTAGTATGTGAAGGACAGGGGATAAATGCAAACAGGACCCTCCCTGGTAGGTGACAGGGTTGGGGGAAATAGCCTGGGGTCAGACCATGTGATAGGTGGAGGTTGGAGATCACAGGCCTGTGGGTAAGACCTCACCTAACAACACGGCAGGGACGCCCCATCCCAAAGCATGGTAGAAGCGCATGGCACCACGATCCACATTCCGAGGCTCAACCTGCATCCGATAAAGGTGTAGGCCCTGCACCAGGAGCCATGCGAAGGTGCTGAGGAAGAAGTAGTGCAGGAGGATGGCGACTGCGGTGCACAGCAGCTGAGGGCGGGGCCAAGAGACCGCTGTAAGGACCTCTCCCCGACCACCGCATCTCTGACCCACCCCAGGCATCTGTTCTCCACTTACGATTCTAACAACAGCATTTAATTCCAGCCAGTGTCCCGCCCCAAACCAGGACCTCAACTTGGGCATGCCTGGGAAAGGCAGAGTCACTGGACACATTCCCCTGGCCCTGGCCCTGGCCCTGCACCTGGTTGTGGGTCCTGTGGATTCCCAGCAGAAAGAGGAGCTCTGCTACTCCCAGGGCAGCTGCCACGTTGGCGTGGATCCCACGCACATTGGACTTGAGGCTGCGCAGGCTCAGCAGGACAGCAGCGGTCAGGACTAGTGCAGTCACAGACACGGCCACGACCACGTGCGTGAACACCGCCAGCAGCTCTAGGTCTCCCTCTAGCCGCTGTGGAGTTAAGGATGGTCACTGGAATGCTGGGTGGAGAGCTTCCTGCCCTTTTGACTTCCCACTTCTTTGGGTCATTGAATGCAACTCTACCTCACGGGGAGAGGCATCCATAAGGACTCCAAAAGTGCCTGTGCGGCTACAGCGACACCGTGCATGGGATCCATTCCTGTGTACCAGCTCACAGTCCCTTGCCGTCCACATCCCATGCTGGTCTGCCCTGTATCCAGAGGAGAGTTAGTTAGATCTACCTTTCCATCCAGATGTGTTTCGTTGCAGGCAGAGATTTGTGAGATGGTGGGGGAGGGAGAGGGTGCCTGGAGTTGGGGAACAGCATTCCTTGTGGGCCTAATGGCACAGAGGCATAGACTGGGGCCTGGGGACAGGCTGGGGCACCTCCCAGAGGTTAACAGGGACAAAAGGTTTCCAGAGTGGGGTCCTCACGGGCCAGGTGGGTCCCACTGCACACAGATCGCCTTGCTCCGATTCGCTGTCTGTAGTAGGCGGAATTCAAGGTTGATTGGGGACACCAGAACACCACTTAGGAAGTTGCGTCCATGGAAAACAGCCACGCTGACCACCGGGGAGTTCATAACAGGGTTCTGGGGGAGCCTGAGGAGACACCCAGCTGGTTTTGGACACTGTTGAACAAAGACTGACTGCCCACCTCGCCACCAAACCACTTGCCATGACTGACCAGGATCCGGGTACCTGCAGAGCACATGCTGGTTCTAAGAACACCATCCAGCCTCTGCTGGGCTGCCAGGGGCTTCAGACTCACTGCCTAGACTGAGCTAAGGCCTGAACAGCTCTGGACTGGCCTATGACTGTCAGCCTCAAACCCTCCCTTTTTCCACCCTCCCATCTCTATCTGACTTGCCCAACCAATTTGTGTATGTCTTCCTCTATCAGCCAGTTGGCCTATCTGTCCCCGGATCATGTACCCTTCCTGTGTGTGTGTGTGTGACGATCCCCATATATGTCTCTGTCTGTCACCCCTGCACCTCTGCTGTTCTTTATAACCGAAGAAAATTCACATGGAACTCAGTTCAGGTAGGTTCCTTGGAGCTGTGCACAGGGTTGTCTGTTTACCTGTGGACCTGCTCATCTGCCCACTGAGGAAAGGAATGCTGGGTGGGGTAGAAGCTCACAAAAAGCTCAGGGTTGAGGGGACAAGGAACAGCTCTATGCCTGGTACCTGGCGCCCCTGCGTTCAGCCTGGAACTGCGCAGGAAGAAGCCCTCCCAAGGTGCGGTACACAAGGAGAATGACAATGGAGATCCCAGGCTCAGGCTCAGGCTCTGGGGGCGCTGTTGGGGAGACCACACTTGAGGCTGTGGTGTTTTCTGTGTTGCTGCTTGTGGGCAGAGCTGCCAAAGGAAAGGAAGGAGCCACTGTGACTTCTTACCATGAACACCCACAGACCTAACCCTGAACCCAGCCCAGCATCCAGGCACAGAGATCCCTTCTACACACATCCAGAAACTGGGGAGCAGAGGATGCAGGGGCCATGAGAGGAACATGGGAAAGGTAGTGAGGCGGTAAAGATATGGCAAAGTGGATATGGATATGGCGGTGGCCCTGGGAAGGTCTCACACAGCAGCCATGGGGCGGGGGAGGTCTGACAAGGAAAGAACTGGTGAAGAGGTGACATGCTATCAGGCTTTGGGAGGCAATAAGGCGACAGGACCTGGCTCAGGAGTCACAGAAAAGGTTCCTACCTTCAGATGGGGATGGCTGTGGGGACTGGGAAGGCAACAGCACATGTGTATGGGGATCCCAGGCATCCTGGCCCCGGAAAAGGTTGCTATGGTAGCGGGGGTAACGACGGGCTCCCTGAGCTGAACTAGGATGCTCCATGCGGTCAATGCTGAGCACTGCCCAAGAAAAAGATGGGTAACATCTGTCCAGGACCTCCTTCCCGCGCCCAGGGTTACAGCCTGAGCTTCACAGGCTGCATTTCCTTGGTATGAGGGCAGGGGCTGGAGGAGGACTGGGCAGGGCAGTAGCACCAGCCCCAGAGCTCCCCTGCCCTTCTCCCTCCCTTCTACCACTCACTGATATTGGGTGTGACTAGTCCAACAGGGTTCAGGTATGTCAGCTCCATATTCCTCGCAAGTGTGGCTGCATATTCCTCCAGATGCCGCACTAGCCCTGCGCTTCCTGGGGAGCCCCCAGGGGCTCGCTGCCCCAGGGCTGCCCACAAGTCTCCTGTCTCCGGAGCAAGCAGTGCAGAACCGGCCCACAGCAGATTCTAGAAAGATGGAGATGGAGATGGACTCACTCAGATAGTAAGGGTGTACAAAGGCTAGACATGAGGGGTCTAGCCAGGTATTACTGGGGCCTAAGAGGCAAGAGGGCAGGATTGAAGTGGATGGGGAAGAGGGAAATTGTAGGATTTTTTGTTTTCCCAGAGGTCAGGAGGAGCATAAACTGGGGGTGCAGGTTAGGAGGCTAGAGAGGAGGAACTATGGAGCTGGGGTCAGGCCATGGAAAAGGGAATACAGATAGAGCACAGCCCACCTCATTGAAGTGGGCATCTTGAGTGGCTGTCAGCCCAAAGCCCTGCTGATGGCTCTCAAAAGCCAGCAGATAGGCCAGCAAGCGGGCAGTAACTCGGACATCTTGGCTAAAGTAGTGGTCGGTCTGGCCGGTCACCTCCCGCAGCCGCTGAGCCAGCTTCTTGGCCTCCACGGTATCCAGTGCTGTCTTGTTCAGCTCCAGGCCATCCAGCTGCCAGGACAAGGATGGGGGTGTTTTTTCTGTGCTCCTGTAGGCATTTCTCAAAAGCCTTACAGGGAGAAAGGCTTGGACAGATGAAAGGGCAACTAGGAAATGCCCAAGAGGTCAAGAGCTGAGGTCTATATTGGGCCCACCACAGGCCCGAAGGTCTTGGGTGCGGGGCACTAGCTGGGCAGAGTCTCACCAGCAGACTGAGTTCCCGGAAGGCAGGCGAGGTGCAGTTGAAGAGGTCAGGCTCCAGCCAACCCTGGTCCTCATCACACAGCCGCACCGCAGCACCTGGGGGCAGGCAATCCCTGGTCAGGCTTGGAGCCTGGGTACTTTTGCTGGGAGGTGGCCACAGCACCCTCTTCTATCCCATAAGGAGCCTTGAGGTATGGGCCAGAGTGATAAACATTTATGACTAGGTGCCTAGATGCTGCAGCCTAAGCCCAGGTGGCTTCAATAGCTTGTTGCTCAATTCTTCCAAGGATTCTGAGAACCATTCTTACCACTAACCACATGATGAAAAGTCTAAGGATGTACTGTAGACACACACACACACACTCTTATACACACTCACTCACTCATACAGGCCAAAATTCATACACATGCCACCAATGCTCATTAGCTGCACACACACACACACACATACACACATACACACTGCTCTCTTGTATACTCACAAGCATGCTGACACAGACAAGATCACCCAGGAGTATCATATGACCCGAGTGAGGTGGGGGAGGGTTCTCACACAAGTTTGAACTACCATAATGGAGACTATTCCCATCGCCTTCCCTTGTCTATGCAGTTGGGATAGAAGCTGAATAAGTTGTGTCCACCAGCAAGAGACCTAACTTAAATTCAGAACCCCATCCCCTCAAGACAGACTCAGACACATGCACAGGCACAGAAGGACACAGATGTGAGCATGCACACACAATCTCTGTCCAGCCACTGCAGAGACCTCAAGCAGCAGGGAGGGTTCTGGGAGGCCCTCAGGCAGCAAGGAGAAGCTGGTGGGTGGCTCTGACCGATAGGAGGAACCCTACAAGGACCTCAGGAAGTAGGGAAGCGTTTACAAGGACTTAGAGCATAGAAAAGGATCTGAAGGATCCCCAGGTGATGGGGAGGGATCCTTGAGGACCTTGGGCACCAGAGAAGGTCCCTAGGGTCCTCAGATCACAGGTAGGGGTCTCCAGGAGGACAGAAGTAGGTTTTAGAGAGCTCAGGCAGCAGGGAGGGGTCTGCAAGGACCTTAAGCAGCAAGAGGGGGGGTCTGCAAAAGCTCTGGCCGTGGGAGGGGGCAGCGCACCTGAGCAAACACGTACCCCTTACCTGTACCCCGCAATCCTGCCCAGAAGCCAAGAGAAACAGATTGGAGACTTAATGAGAGTAGAAGAGGGGAACCAGCGCCCCTAAGAAGTATAAGGGGCCCACATGGATTCCCACCCTATCCCATCTCTTTACAGAGATAAGGTAAGACCACCCAACTTGGTGAAAGAGGCGGCTGTAACAATCAGAAGTCAGACCTGCCCCACCCTCGGCAACAATGCTGCCCACCACATACTCACCCAAGGCCCCCCGGGGACAGGGTACTGTGGCCAAAACACCAAACTTAGTCTGGGGCCACCACACACCAGATCTCAGGGACTTGGGGCAGGCATCATAGAGTACTAGGGAGAAAGGGAGTGTTGAGCCTGGTGGTCAGGTTCCAAGGCAAGTAACACCATACCTACGCTGTTCCACCACTCCCATGCCCAGGCCCAGAGTCTACCACTCCCCTGCTGGCTTCTAAAGAGCTGGCCTGTTAAAGTCTATGACAAGTCAGCCACGCATGCATAGTAAAGGTAGGGCTCCCGGTGTAACTGGTGTCTCTCAGGAGTAGCTTCCCAGAGCCCACCACCACCTCCAGATGCCAGCAGCGCCACTGGTCCCTCAGCATGCTGGAGCCAGTCCTCGACTGGAGGTGATCAGAGCTTGCTTACCTCGGCAGCCACTGGCTGTCACCTCTGCAAAGGGGCTGTCACAGCTGTTACACTGCCGGCCAAGGGCTCCTGGGCGGCAGGGGCACTGCCCGCTGTGGGGTGCACATGAACGCGAGGTGGAGCCCACAGGGTAGCAGTCACAAGGCAGGCATGAGTCACTGCCCCTCGGTCGGTAGTAGAACTCCTGTTTAGGGGTGGGTCAGGGGCCTGAGGTCAGAGGTTAGGCTTCAGGGAAGGCTCTTAGGGGAAAGGTTGGGGGATGAGTGGAATCAAGGGCAAAAGTTTAAAAAAAAAAATCTCAAAAGAGCTCATAGGCTAGAAAGACTTGCCTCAGATGAGACAAGGAAGGGTTTAGAAGTCAAGCATGAGAGGTGTCAACTAGAGTGTAGGATACAGATTAAGAAGTTAGGGCCCAAGTCACGTGGCAGAGGATAACAAATTGGACAAGAATCATAGGTAGCGTCCAAGGGAAAGTTAGAGGTCAGGGGTCAGAGTCTAGACAAACCTTGCAGTGGCACTGCCCATTTGTCTTGTTGCAGTTCGGGTCAAAGCCCTTGTGAACATCACAGTTGCAGGGACCACATGTTGGGCTTCCCCACCAGCCCCGAGGGCATTGCTGGTCCATCCTGGGAATGAGATGAGATAAAGTGCATCCATGATATTTCGGTGACCCTGATTGCTCCAAGGTCTTTACACCATCTTTGTCCCAAGCCTCTCACCTGTGTTCACAGTGCTGACCAAAATAGCCATTTGGACAGTCACAGATATAGCCGTGGGGGGTTCCTTGAAGGTGGCGGCATGATCCCTGGTTTTGACAAGGGTTCAAGAGGCAGGCATCCACACAACCTGGGCCATAGTAACCTGATCAGGAAGATCAGAACACTGGTCAGGGGCTAGAGAGATGGCTCAGTGGTTAAGAGCATTGCCTGCTCTTCCAAAGGTCCTGAGTTCAATTCCCAGCAACCACATGGTGTCTCACAACCATCTGAAATGAGATCTGATGCCTTCTTCTGGCCTACAGGCAGACAGAATATTGCCTACATAATAAGTAAATCAAATATTAAAAAAAAGAACACTGGTCAAAGAACATGGAAAGAAGCAGGGTTCTACCCTCTCAGTTCCTGTCTACCCTAGGCCCTCTAGTTCCTGAGCCTTTCCCATGGCTCCTGGTTCTTTCTCCAACTCTCTCAACGCCCACCTGGCCAGCAGGTGCAGGAAAAGGTCTGCCAGAGGTCTTTGCAGTTAGCATGGGGTGGACAGGGCCCAGATGCACAGGCGTTGGTCACAACACAGCCAGGTTCCACATTTACCCTGTGGCTGGGAGGTGGCAGGGCTGAGGACCCAAAGGGTGTAAAGCCAATCCAGACCCCCTATAGACACAGAGAGAAAATGGCGAGACTCATGTCAAGGCAGTCCTATGGAACCAGCCACACAGTCTGACGATCCATGACATGCAGCCTTCCTCTGTCCCTTCCACAAAACTCAAGGCCTCCCTAAATATCCCCATCCAGCCCCCCACAAGGATTTCTCATTGTGCTGTTTCTGCCGTGTCTTCCAGATGATCCTAGATTATCTAAGCTAGACTCTTACTTCTGCCAGAGGAAGGTTTGATTTGTCTCTGATCTCTCTGAGTCATCTAGCCCCCCTCCCAAGCCAACATGGATTTAAATGCTACTTTTCGGTCCCTAGTGACCCCTATCATAGTCTCATGCTGATCCTCACCTGGATACAGCCAACCAGACCCTGTGGACCCTCCTCCTTACTGCTGGGGGGCAGGCCTCCCACATGGAGCTGCTTTACTTTCAGGCCCTGCAGCTCACCCCCCACAGCCATGGTGTCCTAGAAAGAGGGGACAGTCAGCACAGAGGGAAGGGGCACCTAGTAAACCCCTGTCATACCCCAGAGTCAGAATGGCTTCTTCTAGCCCTGTATGACCATGCTTTGACTCCTGTATCAGAACGGTTTGGAAACGAGTCTCTGTGGCAAAGGTGACAGCTAACACAAAAGCTCCAGTTAAGAGCTGACTCGGGGCTGGCTGCTCTGCCAGAGCATCTGGGTTTGATGCCCAGCACCTGCAAAAAGCTCACAGCAAGGGTTCTGATACTCTCCTATGGCCTCCCTGGGCACCAGACATATATATGGTGCACATACATACATGAAGGCAAATACTCATACACATAACATAAAAAAAAATAAATTAATAAAGAGTTAAGCTCAGACAGGCTCCTCCCTCCTGGACCAACCTTGTAATTCTATGATCTTATTTTTTGAGCATATATATGAGTATATAGTGTGCTTATGTGTATATACATGTTCATATGTGTATTGGTCAATGATGTGTGTAGATGCATTTGTACATTATACATGTGGAAGCCTGAAGTTGACACCAGATGTCTTCCTTGACCACTCCCCACTTCATTAACTGAGCCGGCTAACCGTAGAGCTCATCAATTCTGGCTAGTCTAGTGAGCCAGCTTACTCAGAGGCTCTCCCGTCTGCCTCCTGAGTGCTGGGATTACCGGCAGCTGTTATGCCTGCCCTGTGCTTACATAGGTTCTGGGACTGGAATGTGAGTCCCTACAGTTGCCTAAGCAGGTGCTTTATCCTTTGAGCCATCTGCCCATCCCTGAAATTCCAGTATTTTGGCTTGGGGTAGGTAGAGATTAGGGAAGACAACAGAAGAGGCTTTTGGGAATCAGGCAAAGTCAAAGTCCCAACTATAGAGGTACAAGATCAAGCCAGAAATATAGGGAGCCTACTTGACTCAAGAGGGGTTGCCTAACAGAACAACCTGGCTGGTGGAGTAGGATCAAAGCAAAGAGCTAGGAGAATATCAGATCTGGTAGTTGGAGGAGTGGAAAGGAGCTGTACAAGAGGTGGGGGTCACGTAAGTTAAATCTGGTTGGAAAACTGAGAACAGACTACCCTGGGTTCAGAGGTCAGACCTGGAAGAGGTTGAAGTCCAGTGAAACCATAAAGATATGATGGCCCCTTCGGCCACCTGGCTCCTCCTGCAACTCCAGCCGAAGATCATGCCACCGGCCGTCACTGACTGTCGTATGGTCCAACAGGAGGTGGGCGGCATGGCCTGAGGCCCTACTTAGTGTCAAGGACAGCAACCCCTGATCCAGCTGTGAGTAGAAATGCATAGCCCCAGGGTTAGATTAGAATGAGGCCAGGAGGTGAGGTCAGGGGGTGTAGTGGTCAGGAATACGCATTAGAACTTATACCCAATGCATAGCACACTGTTCGGGGATATCGTGGTGTTGACATGGGTTGGGGCAAAGGGCAGAGCCAGGGGTCATGGGTTGGTACAGTTATAAGAAAGAGCTGTGTGTGTGCCCTGAACATGCAAAGAACATTATGATAGGGAAGAGTCCACATGCAGGGTTCAGAGCAGAGTCCAGGGTGTTAAGACATCTGACCGAGAACTGTGCTATATGTTCTAACCCAGTTGCTGGGGAGCACCGGCGATTAGCAGAGGGGGAAGAGTAAAGGACTGGAAGGACAGACATACCTGGCAGAGGAGCACGCTATGTGGCCCAAGCTGTACTTGCATCAAGACCCCTTTTGTTGCCCGTGTTCGAAATGCTAGTCCCAGGTACCATGGCACGGACACAGTCATGTCATTTCCAAAGTCCCAACTCAGTGTGCCGTTGCCATGGAAACGGTACGGATGGGCCATTGCTGAGTGCAGAAGAGAAGTAGGGTTACAGATCCTATCCCAAGAACAGGCCTTACTCACCCTGCAGGGTCCTCCTGCCCCATGATGCCCACTCACTGAGGCGACAGTCTTTGCCACCAAAGCCCACAGGACAGTCACAGCTAAAGCCACCCCAGCGCTCTGAGCAGAAGCCACTGTTCTTGCAGGGGCCTGAGGCACAGAAGTGCAACTTGGCCTGACAGCCTGGAGAGGAAAGGACAAAGAAGATATGAGAAGGCTGGGTGAGGACTTGAGTGCTGGACAGGATGCTAAGACCAGGGGCTGAACGTGCATGATGTCATCTTCCCATTCTAAGGAGTAGGTAAGTGTGAGTAAGGCCCTACAGGCCGGATATAGTGTGGCTCTTGCCATGTAGTATTGGATTGGGGTCCGATGTGGAGCCATCCCATGCAACCCTCCACCTCCTCCTCATGATGGAGAAAGGGACATGAATGGGGACAAGTAGCTTTTGGGCCTACCTGCCATAGTGCCATTGTTTGCAACGAAGGCTGCCATGTCCATTCGGCGGCCATCAATGTGCAAGTCTCGCATGCAGCCAATGAAGTCCTTGTGGGACACGGGGAAGTTCTCGGGAAGGTTGGGGACACCCCCCAAGAGCAGAGGGCCCGTCAGGTCCAGGGACCTGGGGGTCAGGAGTCTGGGTCATTGGTGGGTCTGGAACCAGAGTAGGGTTGCTCCTGGGGGCTACTGGAAATAGGGGATAAGACTAAGGGAAGGGGGATTAGCCGGAGAAGATAAGACCAGGATGGGCAAAGAGTTAAGAATGCAATTGTGAAGAGGTAAAGAAGACCATGAGGGGCAGATGGTCGGGGAAAGGGGGGCTGCTTTGGTTTGAAGACAGTGATGAGGAGGGAGGCATTTGGGTGGCTGGGGTAGGGGATGGAGAAGAGGGATTGAAGGTGACGTCAGCAGGCTCACTGGTCTCAGGGGCTATTTATGAGATTAGTGGACTAGAGGCAATGTGTGTCATTTGAGACTTAAGGTATGGAGACATTTTCGAGGACAGAATGCCTAGGGACTTTTTCTGAGGACTGTGTGGAAGCCAGAAGCCAGGGGTAGAATCTGGGATTGGGGGCTAGACTGAGTAGGCTTCCAGTGTCTTTGATCGGCCTGTCTGGGAAAAGAACAAGGAGTCTGGCAGACTATGTGAAGGGCTAAGGTGGGCTCTGGTCACAGAGAACATGAGGAGCGGGGGGTGGGGGCCTCACTTCTTGGAGCTTGTTTGCACACCAGCAGCTGCACATGCGTAGTTGCCAATCTCAGCACCAAACTGCAGAGCCACAGCCACATTGCAGTCATCCACACTCAACACAGCCACCTTGTCCTTCGAAGGGCCCTGAGCACCCCCTAGGGCATCTGTCCGGGGCTGAAGACCAGGCACACCAATCAACAATGCCCCTGTGGTAACTCCTGAGGTGAACTCAGAATCCTGACTCCCCGACACTGCCCACCCATACTATGCCAGAGGCAGTGCCCACCTTGTTGTAGTATCTCAGATGCACGGTATGCCACTGTCCATCACTCAGGCCTCCTGGGACTGTGGGGCTCACCACTGTATTGGATTCACCTGTGGGGAATCCATTATGCACGTGGCATGTTGTCTGGAGTTCCTGAGTGGCCCCATCCCGGCAATTACATAAATACAGGTACTCAAAGGGTCATGCTGAATAACGGGATCACCATATCTCCTGGTGACCATACTGGCTGGACTACAGAGTCCTTGAACACGTAGGAGAAACACAGACTTCCCCAAGGGACGGACCTTCCCTGAGGGAGTGGCCACAGAGCCAGGTCCTCACTGTTATCTGTTTGGCACTGAAGAGTATACTCAGGGGTTCAGTTAAGGGCACCTGAGGGGACACACGCATTGACTCTGCCAGCCATCCCTGGAACACATGCATCCCACTCACTGCCACAAAAATCCACAGGAGCACCCACCCGTGGAATATGTAAGCCGCACTTGGCCAGCCACAAGTTCTAGAGCCAGAAAGTCATGCTTCTCATTTAGGCGTCCGTTGTAGAAGAGTAGCCCACTGGGCTGCACTGTTGCAAACCTGAGGGAGATGGACCGGGACCATTAGGAGCAGACAGCTCACACCCTCTGTTGGAAAACCAGCTCAAGCTGAGCCGAAAACAGAGCGTGGGAGATGCCAGAGCATCCCAGCAGAGGTCAGGGAAGAGGGCGGTGTCCTGGAAGGACCACAGGACCGGGCAGTCAGCAATATGGCTCAGGGTTACATAGGTAGGGACAGAGGAGAGACATGCAGTGACACGGGGCGGGCACCTACGAGAGGGACAGCGTGAGGTGGAAGCGCTGCCGCAGGCCGCGGAACATGACGAACGAACTGGGAGGAAAGGAGCGGGCGGCCACCTCACAGCGCGGGCCCTCGAAAGCGCCGCCCGCGGGGCACTGGCAGCGAAAGCCGCCATTGGGCGCGTTGGTGCAGGTGCCCCCGTTGCGACAGACGCCTGGCACGCAGCGGCCAGCTTCAGTGTCCAGCTCGCAGTCTTCGCCTGCAGGGCAGCACGGGTCAGAGGACCGCGCCCCGCCCACGCCCCGCCCACGCCCCTGGAGGCCGGAGCCTCAAGGCCAAGCCCCTCGGCCTCTGACTGGTTGAGCTGCCTGTGGGCACGCCCTCAAACGATCTGTGGGCGCCATCGAGGACCCGCCCACAGCCCTCGTCGCTCCGCCCCTGGCCCCCTCCCCTCCAGCGCCTTTCGCCTAGGTTTTCTAGTTCTCTCCCAGCTTTAGGCTTTCTGCGGGCTGGGCTCAGCCGCTCCGTTTACAAGACTCAGTTGCCTTAGAAAGGATGCCCAGTGCTCACTCGCACTCCGTAGTCCCGCCGCTAAACGTCGCCAGGGCTTCATCCGGCGCTGCACCCGACTTACCGGTGAAGCGCGGGCGGCACACACAGGTGTAGCCTCCCTCGCGCCGCGCACACGCGCCGCCATTGCGACACGGGTTCGAGTAGCAGAGGTCGAGCTCAGTCTCGCAAAAGTCTCCCGTGAAGCCAGGCGGGCAGCGGCAGCGCAGGCCGGCGATGGGCTGGATGGGTCGGAAGAGCGTGGAGGCCGAGGCCAGGAAGGGCGCGGAGGAGTCAAAGCGGAGCACTGACACGCATTTCATGTAGTTCTCACAGGGCTCGCGCAAGCACACGTTGTCATCAAAGGGCAGCACGTCGAGCAGCGAGCGGGCAGCCAAGGCGGCGCGGCGCACATACAGTTGCTCCTGCAGCTCCTCGGAGCTGAACCAGGGCCCTGCAGCGCCTGCCCCAGCCCCCCGAGGGGCCAGCGCCGAGAAGCTCACGTTAAGCACGGTGCCCCCCACGTCCGTGTCGTTCTGGATGTTGAAGATGAAAACATCCTCGGTAGGGGTTGCGAGCACTGCAGCCACGCCTTCAAGAAAATGGCCCAGCAGCGGTGATAGGAAGCGCTCTTGCCACATGTTCTCCAGGCGCACAGTCAAGCTGTTGGCCAGCAACTCCTCCGTGATGATGACCACACGCAGCACACACTGTGCTGTAACACTATGCAGGCCATCTGCAGGTAGGGGCAAGGACAGTGATCAGTTTCCGGTCAGTAGCTGCCTCTCTCTGGGACACAAAAGGTCTGAGGCCAGTGATTACCTAGACCTACGAGTCAATAGACTGACCCCTAACAAGGTACAAGTCTAGGATTAGTAATCACCGTGTCTCCCAGCATCAAGGTAACAACTGGCTGCTGCTTCCTACTTCAGCATCCACAACACAGGAGAGAGGCTTGAGTCAGTAATTTATCCAGCTCAGATATGGCCCTTAGCATCAGGGCACTCCATCAGCCCTGCCCCCACAATTCCCCATGAGTCAGTATTCTACTAACACACAAGAAGTTCTGTAAGTGTTCAGTAATTCATATTTCTAGTCATTGTGATCGGTAGGCTACCCCCACTAAGGATAGGAAGAGAAAAAGCCAGGACCATTGGCCATCCATTTCCAGTTTCCCATCTTCCCCCATTGAAGCAGAAACAGCAGAACACTCCCTGCAAGAAACAATGGGGGAGGCAAAGGCCAGGTGTGTGGTGGTGCAGGCCTTTAATCCCAGCACATGGGAGACAGAGGCAGGGGCAGGCGGATACCTGTGAGTTTGAGGCCAACCTGATCTACATAGTGAGTTCAAGTCAGTGCTACATAGTAAGACCCTGTCTTACAAAATAAAACACAAACAAAACAAAAGAAAGAATAAGTTCCAAAACAAGGCTATCTCTTGCCAGCCAACTGCTCCCCCAAGGCAGTAGATGAGGTCCTGGACCAGCGAACACTCAGTGCAGTTCTCCAGAACGCTGGATCAGCGAGCCCCATGGACCTTGATGTAAAGCCACCCTGTATCCTCCTCAAACCACCTAACACTCTAGTCCTGGGTTCTGTGATTTCAGTGTCCATCCTGAGAGGAAAGTCAGGTACTTATCTGCTTTGTTCATCTCAGATCAAGCACGTGTTGGGTGGTCCATAAAGACCGGCTGTAGAGAGAACTGAGCAAGCACGTGTTGGGTGGTCCATAAAGACCGGCTATAGAGAGAACTGAAAGGAAATGAAGACCTCGCCTCCTCTGTCAGTGCCAGGAGACCCAGCGCCAGAGCTGAGACAGAAAAGATTCTCCAAGCCTCTGGCACTTCTAGACAGTGATACTTCAAGGGTTTTTCCACCTCCTGGTCCCTTCTATGAGGAAAGAGTTCATGAAAGTCCAGGGAAATGAAAGCTATTGGATTGCTGGACATTTTCCAAAAGGAAAGGTCCTCAGCCTTTGGATAGTAGCATGGACCCATTCCCTGCCTGAGGCTGTCAAAGTTAGCTGCTCTTCCTGACCACTGAAGTAAGTGAGGGGAGACTAGACCCAAAGTAACCCTTATCTAAATTTGGGCATGAAATGAATGAACTTTCTGGATTTTCCTAGAAACACAAGAGCATCACAAAGAACCTCTGACCTTCCTTCTTTATAGAGAGAGGAGCAAGCCAAGCAGTGGTGGTGCACGCCTTTAATCCCAGCATTTAGAAGGCAGAGGCAGGCGGATCTCTGTGAGTTTGAGGCCAACCTGGTCTACAAGAGCTAGTTCCAGGACAGGCTCCAAAGCTACAAAGAAACCCTGTCTTGACAAAAACAAAACCCAAAAACAATAAATAAATAAATAAATAAATAAATAATTTTAAAAAAGAGAGAGGAGCAATTCTTATACGAACAGCTACTTATGTTTTTGTTTTTTGGTGGTTTTTTTTTTTTTTTTTTTTGGTTTTTCGAGACAGGGTTTTTCTGTAGCTTTGGTGCCTGTCCTGGAACTAACTCTTGTAGACCAGGCTGGCCTCGAACTCCCAGAGATCTGCCTGCCTCTGCCTCCCGAGTGCTGGGATTAAAGGCGTGCGCCACAACCTCCCGGCCTACTTATGGTTCTTACATGCCCTAGAATCTTAAGGATTCTGTAGACTGTCCAAGAACCTGAGTGGAACTGAAGTCTATGGGGATCTTACTGGGTGAAGCCACCACTTTAGAGATTCTGGTTTGAGCCCCAAAAAGCTAAGATCATTAGGTCACATGCCTATCCCACATCCCTCACCTGTTACAGTTACCAGCATGGAGGCCACTAGTGGGCGGTTGTTGTCTAACTTCCGGCTGAGTCGAAGCTCCCCGCTGGTCTGGTTGACCATCAGCAGCTGCAGCTCATTGCCCCTCTCAAAGGAGTAAAAGAGGTGGTCAGAGACATCCGGGTCATAAGCTGGGATGCGCCCAATGATGCCTGAGGGGAAAGTGTCAGAACGGTTGGATACATAGTTGTTGAAGAGGATCTGGAAGTTGTTGAGCACAGGACTATTGTCATTCTGGTCAACCAGGCGCACATGGACAGTGGCCCGGCTGACCAGGGGAGCAGATGTGGCCTGCACCACAATCACGTACTCCTGGCGAGCCTCATAATCCAGGTCTATGAGTGCTGTCAGCTCTCCAGAGAAGATGTCCATTTGGAACAGCTCAGGGATGTTCCCTTCCACAATCTGGTACATGATGTGGGCATTGGGGCCTTCATCGGGGTCCACCGCAGTGATCTGAGCCACCACTGAGCCTACAATGCTGTTCTCCTTCACCCTCACTTCAAACTCCTCCGCCGGGAAGACAGGGGCATTGTCATTCACATCTTGTACGGTCACCTGGATGCTGACTGGAGTCCGAAGTGGGGGCACACCACGGTCCACAGCATAAGCAGTCAGCTCATACACTGGCACCGCTTCCCGGTCCAGCCGCCTCACAGTCCTGACAATGCCAGAGGTGGGCTCAATGGTAAAATCTCCATCTCCATCTTCCCCATTCTGGAAAGTATATTGGACCCGGCCATTGGCATGAGCATCCCGGTCAGTGGCTGAGATCTGCAGAACACTAGTGAAGGGCGGAGCATCCTCAGAGACCAAGCCTGTGTAGTGGGAGGCCACAAACTGAGGAGCGTTATCATTCACATCATTGACCATTACCTCCACATAGGTGGTATCTGCTTTCTGTGGGATGCCATTGTCCCGAGCAGTAATGGCCAGTGTGTATGTCACTTGGTCCTCGTAGTCCAGTGGAGCTTGTAGTGTAATGGCCCCTGAGTCTGCATCAATGCGGAACTGGGGCAGGTTGTCTTCCAAAAGATAAGTGATGCGAGCGTTTTCACCCACATCATCATCAGAAGCACTGATGACCACCACAGTGCTACCCACTGGCCGATCTTCATTCATGCTCACGGAGTAATGAGCGCTTTGAAAGACAGGCCTATGTGTATTGGCATCTGTGATGTTGATATGCACATAGCAGTGATCATGAAGGGCACGGTCAGATGCAGTAAGCACCAGCTTGAAGTAGCGCTCCTGCTTGTAATCCAGGGGTAGAGCCAGTGTCACCAAGCCCACACCACCTTGGGTGCTGATGGCAAAACGGTTCCGAGTGTTGCCACCTGTGATTTGGTAGCTGATGGCACTGTTGGCATCTCGGTCCACTGCGGTCACACTGACCACACTGGTGCCCACAGCTGCATCCTCATTGAGCCGAAGATGGTACTCTTTCATGGTGAACTCTGGCCGATTGTCATTGACATCCAACACAGTTACTGTGACACTGGCTGAAGCAGAGAGTGGGGGTGACCCATGGTCTCGCGCTTCTACGCCAAAGAAGTAATGTTCCACAGACTCACGATCCAGGGGACCACTCACAGAAACCCAGCCAGTGGCACTGTTTATCACAAAGGGTGTGTCTGGTGCCACACCAGTTAGAGAATACTCCAGCCTGGAGTTCTCCCCGTGGTCGGCATCCACTGCCTGAATGTGAATGACCGAGTGGCCCAGGGGTGCATTTTCCAGAACAGAGACCTGAAAGGGTGTGCTGACAAAGATAGGAGTATGGTCGTTGATGTCTACCACCTGGATGCTTGCCAGGCCTGTGTTGTTGGACAAAGGTGGCCTCCCTGCATCTTGTGCCCGGATACGCAAAGCGTACTCTCTCTCTGCCTCAAAGTCTAGAGGTGCCACTACCTGGATCTCACCCGTGAGACTGTCGATGGCAAAATGGCCACGGCTGTTGCCGCTGATTATGTTATAGTGCACCAAACCATTGGCGTCCTTGTCCTGGTCCGTGGCCGTGACGCGTAGCACCACTGTATGAGGGCGCACGTCTTCACGCACCTGTGCCACATAGCGCTTCTCGCTGAACTGAGGCGCATTGTCATTCTCATCCAGCACAGTTATGTGCACTCGAACGGTGGCTGAACGTGGCCCCGGCTCCTGGCCCTGGTCACTAGCTTCTACCACCAGCTCGTAGCTTTCCATGTGTTCCCTGTCCACGCGGCCACTGGTGCTGATAAGGCCCGAACGTGGATCAATCTCAAAGGCGGCGGCTGCCTCCTTGCGTGCAGCTGGCGACCCTACGAAGCGGTAGCGCAGGTTGGCATTAGGTGGCGCATCACCGTCGGTAGCACGCAACTGCAGGATGGGGTATCCTTCTTCCACATTCTCACGAAGTGTTTCCCGATACTGGGCTTGCTCAAACACTGGCGCGTGATCATTGCGGTCAGCTACTGTCACCGCCACCATGGTGGTGGCTGAGAGGCGCGGTGAGCCGTGGTCCTGTGCGGTCACCCGAAGGTAGTGGCGTTCCATACTCTCACGGTCCAGAGCGGCCGCCGTGCGGATGAGGCCACTCTGAGGATCAATGCTGAAAAGCTCCAGCGAGCGGCTGTTCATGAGCGCCGCCAGCGAGTAGACGAGGCGCCCCGCCTCGCCTGGGTCCGGGTCCTGAGCCACGACGCGCAGCACCGCTGTGCCCGCTGCCTCATTTTCAGGTACCAGTGTCTGGTAGTTGTATTGAGGAAACTGCGGGTGGCGGTTTGCGGCACGCCGGGGGCGACCCTGGTTCTTGGAGGGTTTTTGCTTGGCTTCAGAACCAGTTTGGAACCCTGGAGGGCGCGGCCCAGGGCGCAGAAAGAGGAAACGGTGGCGGAAGGGACCGCGGGAGCGCATGCGCTCGGGAGCCGGCTCGGGAGCTGTCCTGGGCTCGCGTGGTGCTGAATCTGGCGTAGGAACTGTCCTCACAGCACGTGGTGCTGAATTCTCCCCTAGGTCAGATCCCAGAGAGCCGGGAAGGCAGTTCCGCCGAAGGGGTCCCCTCTCCGTTCGAGAAATCGCGGATCTCTCACCCTGACCCTTGCGTCCTGGCGCCCACAGTTTCCCACAGCAGCGAGAGGTTTCCGCTCTCTTGCGAAAGGCTCTCCTAGCATTACGCTGGAAGGACACTGACCTGGAGCCATCAGGCTGAGCCAGAAGGTCCGAAGGATGGGGAGGGATGTTCCCCAGATCTGGATTCCCTGGGGACAGAGCCTCAAGCGGCAGGCTACCTCTTCGTAAAGGCCCTGTCCGCCCACAAGAGGAGATCTCTGGATGCCAACATAACAGATATCCTGGACCCTGACCAGCCTCTTGCTCTCGACTACCCAATGCCTGGACCACCAGCTCCGCGTTTGGTTGCTCAGGGGTCCCTCGTTCGTTCCGGGCGCTTTGCCTACCTACTCGGAGCCTCATGAAGACAGGTTCTCTGACTCCCAGGCCAGACTCTCCATCCTCCCAGACGCCAGGAGAGTCGGGACAAAGAGCTACGGCTCCACTGCCGGTCTGCGCTCTTGGCCCAGTAGCAGTAGCTACCCCTGGGTCCCAGCCCTGGTCCCCACCGCCCCCCAGCTCCTCTCGGCTAAAAGGGAACAAAGAGAGGAGAAGAAGCAGTAGTATCGGGGTCGACGGTCCCCGGAGACCCCACCATAGAGGCCGCCTCGCCATCACCCCCCGCCTCCCGGCACGGCCTCCGCCGCCCCCCGCCCGGGTCCGGGCCTTGGGCCCGCCCCGCCGCTCTGGCCCCCTCCTGGGCCCCTGCCGCCGCCCTGGCCCTCCGCCCCTCGGCCTGTCGCTCCGCGTCGCCACTGCTCTCTGGGCACCATCTACTCCGCGGCCAGAGCCCCTTTGGCATACAGCCCCGGCTTTTGCTGCCCCCACCACAGCATCCCGGACGCTGCTGCCGCCTCCCGACACTCCAACATGGCTCCCGGCCGCTCGGATGGTTTGCTCCACCTCCGCCCCGATGCCCCAAAACCGGTGGTACAACCCGTTGCGCATGGCAGTTCTGGCTATAGAAGGCGGCGCCGCCATCTTTATTGAGGACAGAAGTGCTGCCCACGGTGCTGAAAGGAGCGGGGAGTTTCTCCGCGGGTCCGCTACCGCCCTCCCCCTCCTGCTAATGCTCTCTCTGTTCATTCTTGGTTTCCTAGCCTTTCTTTAAACTGAGAATCTCATCTCCCTTACGGAGCACTAGGTCCGAACCCTAACACCAATTTTGCATTTAAAATGTGTTTTCATAATGTTCTGAGTGTTTGCACCGCTCTGGGCAGCGTTACCATGTAGAATCCTGTGACAGGGACGATAATGACCAGACACAGGCCCGGTCACTAGCAGTTCAAACAGTATCGTAAACTATTTATTAACAAGTTTAACTTATGAAACGTCGCAAATATCTCCTTGTTTGGCCCTACAGAGCAGGATCTGAAAATGACTCTCCTGAGGCAGGAGGATAAGCCAGCTCTTCTCTGCCTCGACAGTCGCTAGCAATCGCCCAGACTTGGGGCTCCTGCGCTGGACACCGCATCTCTCCAAACTAAGGTTCTTTCCAGTGTTCTGGGATGCCACGTGGAACCCAGGGTTGCACCACAGCGGTGGGCCCAGCTTCCTCAGATCCCCGCCCCTCGCCTGCGACAACTGCATCCTTTAACCCCTTGAAGAGCCTGACAGAAAAACTCAGTTCTCCGTAGCCCTGGTTCAATCTAGCCTTCCGTCCTACTCCTGGCACGCGCGCATCTCAACTGACCAATAGCTGGATGTGGCGCAACAGACGTCACAGAATAAGCGGTACAGGCGGTGCATTCCAATCAGAGAGTCATTGTTTCTATTGGCACAATGGGAGACCCCGCCCCTCTCGGAGGACTCCATTGTATGAGGGAGGAAGGAGGGCCTCGAGGGTTCCAGGACAGACAGCAGAAATAATCCATAAGGCGAGCTACACCGGTCGGCCTCCAAACGAGGCATCGGTAATGAGCTGCAAAGTCAGGTGCCGAACACTCTGGCATTCTGACACCGAGGCAGAAGTCAGACCCAGGACCCCAGAACGCTACACTGGGTGCGGCTCCCCCGGCTGAGTGGTTACTGCTTCAAATAGCCCAAGAACTCCTGGCCAAGACCTCTGGCCCGCCCCCAGATGGTAGCTATGACATCACCAACAACCAATCAACGCGTTCTCCTGCTTCTCAGTTTCTTCGCTTCCGGGAGGCCGGTCTCACGCGGGTTGTACCCCATGCGGCTGCTAATATCTGGCGCAAGGGCTTCAGTGTGTTTTGGGTCTTTGAGTCTATAGGAGCTATTCAGGGACAGAGTTCCGTGTCAGGTGACATGGTCAGTGCGGCGGTGTATCTGCAGCGGTTGCCGACTAGAGGAGAGAGGAGCGGGACCTGGTTTTGACCGTGCCCGCCGCTCAGTGGAAGTTAGGGGAAGGCACAAATCTGAGGTCGGACAAGGAGGGAACTGGGATCACTGAAGCAGCGCCTGAATGACGTTAGGGATCTGGACTCCGATACAAGATGCCTGAGCAGCAGTTTTAAGGAGCCTTCCTGGCTCTTGCCGCGTGGGCAAATGTGCAAAGGCACCATGACCGAGGGAAATCGAGTTCCTTTTCCAACAGGGCTGGTGGTTAGCCTCCACCCCACTCTGAGTCATGGTGTTCACTACAGACCGCACTCGGTGAGGCTCCCTGCCTGTAACTGTCTCCACCCTTCCTATTAGGGCTGCTGCAGTCTGGGGGCTCCCTCACCCTGTTTTCTCATATGCACTCACTTCTATGCCCAACCCACAGCAGTAGTTCCTAACGCACTTTCTGGAAAGACACACACACACACACACACACACACACACACACACACACACAGGCTGTAAGATGGTTCCGCTGGTAAAAGTGCTTGATGCCCAAATCTGAACTTGAGTTTGGAGTTTGATCCCTGGAACCCATATAAAAGAGGAAGGAGCCAGCCAGTCGGTGGTGGCGCATGCCTTTAATCCCAGCATTCGGGAGGCAGAGGCAGGCGGATCTCTGTGAGTTTGAAGCCAGCCTGGTCTACAGACCTAGTTCCAGGACAGGCTCCAAAGCTAAAAAAAATAAAATAAAAAATAAAAATAAAAAGAGCTGGAGAGATGGCTCAGAGGTTAAGAGCACTGGCTGCTCTTCCAGAGGTCCTGAGTTCAATTCCCAGCAACCACATGGTGGCTCACAACCATCTGTAATGAGATCTGGTGCCCTCTTCTGGTCTGCAGCATATATGTAGGGAAAATGCTGTATACATAATTAATAAATAAATCTTTTTTAAAAAGTGGAAGGAAAGCTGACTCCACAGAGTCGTCCTCTGATCATATGATATTCCATAAACTCCATAAAAATGCATCAACATTTTCAAATGAAATGTTAGTTTCTCCCCCTGTTTCCAAGTACAGCTTTGTAGAGGAAAGAGCATCAGAAAGAAGTTCAGGTCCTCAGATAAACAGGATCAGTCTGACCCACCCCTGTCTTTAAAATAAAATTTAAAAAAAATCCAAGGGAACCTAAGGGCAAATCATATTTATCTGATTTAAGTTATGTGTATGAGTGTATTGCCTGCATGCATGAGTGTGCACCACATGCGTGTCCAGTGCCTGCAGAGGTCAGAATAGAGCATCAGGTCCCCAGGAGGTGGCCTTACAGATGATTGTGAGCAACCATGTGAGTGCTAGGAAGTGAACCTGGGCTTTCTGTGAGAGCAACAAGTGCTCTTAACAGCTGAGCTACCGCTCCAGCCTCAGAAGGGCAAATTGTTAAAGTGGGCTTAACAAAGTTGTTGGACAAGGGGCTGGAGAGATGACTCGGTTGTTACGATTCTTACAGAAGATTCTAGTTTGACTCCCAACACCTACATCATGCCATTCCAAATGCCTATAACTAGCTTCAGGGGAAATCTAATGATTCTGACCTGTGTGTGTGTGTGTGTGTGTGTGTGTGTGTGTCTGTATGTGTGTGTGTACTGATAAACTAGATTCTGAAATATAAAGACAAGAATACCCAGGACAGGAGCTGGAGAGATGACTCAGTGGTTAAACGTACTTGCTGCTCTTGCAGAGGACCCAGGTTCAGTTCCCAGCACTGACATGAGTGTTCACAACCACCCTTAACTCTAGTTCCAGGGGATCCAACACCCGTCTCTGGTTCTATGGGCTCTAGGTGTGAACATGGTACATGACACATACATTCAGGCCAAACACACATACACATAAAAGTAAGTAAATGTTAAGAATACTTAAAATAGCACTGCTAAAGAAAATCAAAGTTAGGAATTCAACTTCTATTAGGTATCAGGCTAGAAAAGGTATTGTAGCTTGTTGGTTTAGGGACAGGTACACTACTGTTACTAATCTAGGGAGATGCCTAAATATGGGAATTATAATTTTTTTAGTTTTTTATTTTAGTGTATGAGTGTTCTGCTTGCATATATATTTATGCACCACATGTATGTCTGGTGCTCACTAAGGCCAGAGGAAGGTGGGATTAAAGGTGTGCACCACCATCGCCCGGCTAATATGTCAGCATCTCGACAGTGATTCTATATTTCTAGTGTTAGGACCCCACTCCCAACCCAGTCACTCAATAAAAGTCTATGAATGGTAAGAAGGCACGTATAAAATTGCTCCAGGTAGCATTATTTGTAATAGACAAAAATTGGTACTAGGGCTGTAGTGCAGGCAGAATATTTGGCTAGTCTGCACAAGGTCCTGAATTTAAAACCTAGCATAAAAAAGAAGCCCAATGTGGTGGTGAAGTTCTCTAATTCCAACACCGGGAGATGGAGGCAGGAGGGTTAGCGGCTCAAGACCATGGGCTACCTAGTGAAGAGAACCTGTCTCAACAAGAAGATAATAAAATGTACAAAAGCCAGGCGGTGGTGGTGCATGCCTTTAATCCTAGAACTTGGGAGGCAGAGGTAGGCATATCTCTGTGAGTTTGAAGCCAGCCTGGTCTACAAGAATTAGTTCCAGGATAGTCACCAAAGCAACACAGAGAAACCCTTTCTCCAAAACAAACAAACAAAGCTGGCTACTATTGTTTTTATTATTTATTTATTTATTTATTTATTTATTTATTTATTTATTTATTATTTCATACCAATCCCAGTTTCCTCTCCCTCCTCTCCTACTCCCCCACCCCACCGGCGCATCAGAGAGGGTAAAGCCTCTCCTGGAAAGTCAACTAAGTCTGTCCCATCATCACAGCACTGCGGCAGGAGCAAGGCTCCCCCACCACCTCTGCCGTGCCTAGGCTAAGCAAGGTATCTCTCCATAGAGAATGGGCTCCACAAAGTTAGTTCATGCATTTGGGCCAGATCCTGGACCCACTGCCAGTGCCCCATATACTGTCCAAGCCACACCATTGTCACCTGTATTCAGGGGGCCTAGTTTGGTCCTGTGCAGGTTTTCCAGTTGCCAGTCTGGAATCAGTGATCTTCCACTTGCTCAGGTAAATTGATTCTGTGGATTTCCCTGATGACCAAAGATACAAAATAATCCCACACTAGTTCATAAATACGTATAATAAAGGGTTATTTATTTAGGGGAGACCCACAGATCACTGTCCTAGATCACAGTCCTCTGCACGAACAGGGAACAGGAACAGAGTCTAGCAACCAGAAGTGAGAGCCAGAAGCAAGAAAGTGAGCACA